TTCAGGCTAGTACCTTCACCATTACACCAAACTATCTCTCCCAGTTTTAAAAATTAGTACGGCCCTTCCAGAGTTATGGTATCTTCCGAGATTTCATTTTTTAATGTGTTTTTTTTCTGAACCAGGCCACGCCATGGAAAGTGCATCCGTATTTATACAGAAAGAGTGGGATAAAATATAAATAAGAGACCTTTGAGATGGCATGCACAATAACTTGACCTCATTCTGAGCCAGAGATGATCCAGTTCGCTCATTCCGCCTGATTAATTAATTAATTAATTAATTAATCATTAATAAATCCCTTTTGTGGGGATTTTACACTGGCCCACACCGGCCGATTCTGTAACACGATAGGAAGAACTAAAATGGAATTGATAATCTCTATTTTCAGCAAATCGCAAAACTCTGGGTGAATTAGGCCAGTCTGTTAAAATGGTATATAATTTAACTCTCCTGAATTTGGATTTTTTTTGTCATCCTAGGTTTAGGATGTCGGGTGCACAAAGCTAAATGGGGCTAAACATTCCCTTAATTTAAAACTAGTTTGCGTATCTACATGGACTGTAAAAAAAAACTCCCTAGTACAAGAAAACTAGATTTTAACCACAGTATTGCAAGCTGCCTTGAGGATTTAATGCAAATAGAAAAGGAAGCTGTAAATGCACCAATAATTAAAAAACACTTGTTTGATGATATGGATGAGATGAAAATTCTCTAGTTTTGCTCTATGTTAGTGTTTCCCAACTTCAGCAACTTTAAGATGCGTGAACTTCAACTCCCAGAATTCCCTAGCCAGCATGGCTGGCAGCAGAATTATAGGAGTTGAAATCCACGCATCTCAAAACAAACCGACTGGGGAATTCTGGGAGTTGAAGTCCACCCATCTCAAAGCAAACCGACTGGGGAATTCTGGGAGTTGAAGCCCACTCATCTCAAAGCAAACCGACTGGGGAATTCTGGGAGTTGAAGCCCACTCGTCTCAAAGCAAACCGACTGGGGAATTCTGGGAATTGAAGTCCACTCATCTCAAAACAAACCGACTGGGGAATTCTGGGAATTGAAGTCCACTCATCTCAAAGCAAACCGACTGGGGAATTCTGGGAATTGAAGTCCACTCATCTCAAAGCAAACCGACTGGGGAATTATGGGAGTTGAAGTCCACTCGTCTCAAAGCAAACCGACTGGGGAATTCTGGGAGTTGAAGTCCACTCGTCTCAAAGCAAACCGACTGGGGAATTCTGGGAGTTGAAGTCCACTCATCTCAAAGCAAACTGACTGGGGAATTCTGGGAGTTGAAGTCCACTCATCTCAAAGCAAACTACTGGGGAATTCTGGGAGTTGAAGTCCACCATCTCAAAACAAACCAACTGGAGAATTATTGGGAGTTGAAGTCCACTCATCTCAAAGCAAACCAACTGGGGAATTCTGGGAGTTGAAGTCCACTCATCTCAAAGCAAACCAACTGGGGAATTCTGGGAGTTGAAGTCCACCCATCTCAAAACAAACCAACTGGAGAATTATGGGAGTTGAAGTCCACTCATCTCAAAGCAAACCGACTGGGGAATTCTGGGAATTGAAGTCCACTCATCTCAAAGCAAACCGACTGGGGAATTCTGGGAATTGAAGTCCACCCATCTCAAAGCAAACCGACTGGGGAATTCTGGGAATTGAAGTCCACTCGTCTCAAAGCAAACTGACTGGGGAATTCTGGGAATTGAAGTCCACCCATCTCAAAGCAAACCGACTGGGGAATTATGGGAGTTGAAGTCCACTCATCTTAAAGCAAACTGACTGGGGAATTCTGGGAATTGAAGTCTACCCATCTCAAAGCAAACCGACTGGGGAATTTATACAAAGTCAGCTTAATTGGCCCCACAATCTGGGTCCTCATTTTACCTACCTTAGAAAGGATGGAAGGCTGAGTCAACCTTGAGCCTGGGGAGATTTGAACTTGCAGTAATTGCAGGCAGCTGATGTTAATAACAGTGCTTTAGTCTGCTGCGCCACCAGTTGAAGCCCACTCCTCTCAAAGCTGCAGTAAAACAGAGACTTCTGTCTCCTCTGAGTATCTAACAATTTTGTTTTCAACACCTATTCTTTTCTTTAGTTGGACCGGCCCGATTGTTAAAAAAAAGAACCCCCAACAAAACTTACTCTGGCCGGTCCGCGTTCGAATCCCCGTTGCACCGTTCCTTACACGCTGAGGCCCACCTCGCAGGGCTGTTGTGCGGAAGCAAGCAAGATGGAAAGGAAGCCAAGGGAAGGGCTCATTCTTCTAGCTGCGCGGGTTCCCTGCAGGGACGAACCTATTGAGTCCCAAGGGCCAAAAAAGGGTGGGGGAAAACGCCCTTTCTTTGCCGGGGGAAGTGATGCCTAATAGTCACAGCCTTCCCCGCCGTTCTTCCCAGCCCAGGATGTTGCATCACAGGCAGGGGGCTGCTTTTGACTGCAGCCCAGCCCAGCTTCCCCGATCGCCCGAGGAGGGAAGCCAAAGGAGACAGCAGCTGCCTCCAGGCTGCGCACCATGGACAGCGGGGGCCGGCGGGTGGTAGTCTGCGACAACGGCACCGGGGTGAGCAGAGGAGAAGTGGGGAGAGGGCGGGGGATCCCCTCCCTCGATCCCAGCAGGGCAACGTGGAGTGTGGGTGGGTGAGTGGAAAGGATCGGGGCTGCATTCCCACGATCTATTTAACTCCTCCTCCGTGGGAACTTAAGTTTAATTGAACCCAGGTTCTTGGCTTCCATGCAAGCTGGAGTTTTTTTTTAGCCTGCCGAGGTGGTTGGGACCGCAAGCCAGTAACGGAGTCGGAAGGGACCTTGTGCTGAGTCACAAAGAGTTTGTAAAGAGTCCGGCAGAAGTCTGCCATAGTCCTTCAGGATAAGGCTCATCAGCACCCACCTTTATCTCCCTTGACACGCTGCCAAAGGCCTAATTGGCAATTAACTTTGCAAGGCCGCACGGAGCACAGAGTCAAAAACAGAGCTTCAGAATTTAAACCGACCAGAACAAACAAAGTTGCTTCCTGCAAAGGCTCACGTGCCTTTGCTCCTCCTTTAAGTCTTATCAGAGGGGCCAATCATCTCCAAGCCTTACTCCTGAGTCGTCCCTTTTGTCTTAACTGTTCTTGCCTTCTGTTCAGCTCTGTGCATGCGCGCACTGGGAACAGGCTCCCCCTATTCCTGTGCCTCGCTGTTGTCCGACTCTGGAGGCTCCGGAGGCAGCACATCACTCCCAGATGGCCCTGGCCCCCTCTCTGCCTCCGATGCAGAGCCCTCGTCCAAGCCTTCCCCAGACTCCAGGACTGGCCCATGTTCCTCCCCAGCCTCCTCACTGTCCGACTCCGCTGTCAGCTCCGCAGGCTGTTGGCAGACCACAACAGTGAGTCCATCTTAACAATTAAAGCATTTTTTCCCCCTTCCTGGGTTCACGGCGAGCCGAGTCAGCTCAACAGAATTTGCTTGTGTAATGTGTGAAGCTCTCGCTCGGGTGCGAGGAGGTTACTGGAGGAAAACGTCTCTGAGATTTGCACAAGGAAATCTGTGTTTTCGGTGTTGGGTGGGTGACTTACCACCCCCATGTGTCCTTTCAGCTTTGCAATACACATTGTTCCTGAACTCGTTTCCTTAAAAAAAATTTTTTTTTTTTTTTAAATATCAAATCACGATCTTGATCGGAGGCTGCCGAATCATTCCTTCTTCTTTTGACTTTATTTATTTTTATTTTATTTTTTAAAAAAACCAGGGGAACAGCTCTTTGTCTTTCCCATTTTATATTATTCAAAACAAATAAATAAACGGTTATGATAAAGGGACCACATACTTAGCCTTATCTATATTGACAGCAGCAAGGATTATAAATGCTAAATGCTGGAAAAATGTGAACGCCCCACCGGAAGAGGTAGCAATCCGAAAAATTTGGGACTGTGCCGAAATGGACAGATAAACTTTAAAAATTAAAGATAAAGAAGGCTCAGAATACTATCGGAGATGGAATAAATTTTATGAATGGATAGAGACAAGAGGTAGAAATTAGAGAGAATAGAATAGAATAGAATAGAATAGAATAGAATAGAATAGAATAGAATAGAGGAGAGGAGAGGAGAGGAGAGGAGACCAGAGGAGAGCAGAGGGGAGTAGAATAGAATAAAATAGAATACGGAATAGAGTAGAGTAGAGTAGAATAGAATAGAATAGAATAGAATAGAATAGAATAGAATAGAATAGAATAGAATAGAATAGAATAGAATAGAATAGAATAGAGGAGAGGAGAGGAGAGGAGAGGAGACCAGAGGAGAGCAGAGGGGAGTAGAATAGAATAAAATAGAATACGGAATAGAGTAGAGTAGAGTAGAATAGAATAGAATAGAATAGAATAGAATAGAATAGAATAGAATAGAATAGAATAGAATAGAATAGAATAACAGAGTCAGAAGGGACCTTGGAGGTCTTCTAGTCCAACCCCCTGCTTAGACAGGAAACCCTATAAACCACTTCAGACAAATTGTTATCCAAAATCTTCTTAAAAACCTCCAGTGTTGGAGCATTCAGAACTTCTGGTGGCAAGTTGTTCCACTGATTAATCGTTCTCACCGTCAGGAAATTTCTCCTTAGTTCTACGTTGCTTCTCTCCTTGATTAGTTTCCACCCTTTGCTGCTTGTCCCCTGGAAGTCACTTTACTGGGCACAATGAGGACTAGCATCTTATTTCTCCCCTCTTCGAAAAAGGATTGATAGTCACACGCACACGATCAGAATGGGTGCAGGGCCTGTGATGTTAGGAAAGGCATGTTCGTAGCATTTTTTTTAAAATTATTCTTCTTCCAATTTAATCCAAGTTTAAATTCAGGGGCCTGGCTACCATCTCCTTCCCTCAAGCCATCCCTCCCCCCCTCCTGTCTTTTATCTTGGATCCTCCTCTTGTAAAAAAAAAACCAAAACTAAATCCTTTCCAACCAACAGATTGCAAAGCCACAAGCGTCCCGATTTCTCATTTTATTTCCTCTTTCGCGACTTCCTCAGTTTCCCTCGGTGGGAAAGTGAGCACACGAAGCTGCATGTTTGAAAGATTAAGGTACCAAAAAAATCAGATTTCCCCCCCCACACACAGCTCACCTTTGGGGACGGATGGTTAAACAATTGGGAAAACAGCCGCCCTGAGTCTCCGGAGAAAGGCGGCCTATAAATTGAACTAACTAACTAACTAACTAACTAACTAACTAACTAACTAACTAAATAAATAAATAAATAAATAAATAAATAAATAAATATTGTGCCGCTTTCTCTGATGATCACCGCAGTGAAATGCTTGCGTGCCCGAGGATGGAAAGATTTGTGGGTTGAGGGTAATGGAACTTGCTATGTGATATGGAAAAAAAAAAACCCAATATCCTCCCTTTTGCCAATCAACTTTTAACAGGGTTAATTGCTCTTGCAAGCTTCCATAAAAAAATTATTATATATTTTTTTACTCCAAATTTAACGTTTTATTTTTTTTATATATATATATATACTGTTTTCTATTTCAGTGTATTATTGTGCACTGCCCAGGGAGAAGGGTGGTTTAGAAAAGAGAAATGTAAATGAATGAATGAACGAACAAATGAACGAATGAATGAATAAACAAATAAACAAACAAACAAACAATTAAAGAAAGAAAGAAAGAAAGAAATATCTGTGTTTATCACTGACATGAAAGCCCTGATGGACTTTTTGTGTGAAGCAGGAAAAAGAAAAAGGAATTTATGATCTGTGGTTTTGACTCTGAGCTGTAGCTAGAGAGGAAGCAGTACTGGTAAATTTAGAATTTTTCTTATAACTGCTGCCAAGATCCGAAGCCACTTCTTTATGTGATTTTTTTCCTCTTTTTTTCCTTCTCTTTTTCTTTTTTTGCACCATAACTTTCTCACTTATTTTTTTCTTCTTTTTTTCTTACTCTATTCCAATTCGTATTAATTTTTTACTCATGTAAGCTTTCAATAAAATTATACTTTAAATAAAGAAAGACAAAATGCATTTGGAAGAAGAGGTCCAGCTGTCTGTCCTTCCTTCCTTCCTTCCTTCTTCCCTCCCTCCCTCCTTCCCTCCTTCCCTCCCTTCTCCTTCCTTCCTTCCTTCTCTATATTTTCCCTCCTTCCTTCTCTATCCCAACCTCCCCCCTCCCTCCCTTCTTCCTTCCTTCCCTCTCTATATTTCCCTCCTTCCTTCTCTATCCCTTCCTTCCTTCCTTCCTTCTCTATCCCTTCCTTCCTTCTTTCCTTCTCTATATTTTCCCTTCTTCCTTCTCTATCCCACCCTCCCTCCTTCCTTCCTTCCTTCTCTATATTTCCCTCCTTCCTTCTCTATCCCATCCTTCCTTCCTCCTTCCCTCTCTCCTTCCTTCTCTAGTCTTTCCTTCCTTCCTCCTTTATATTTTCCCTCCTTCCTTCTCTATCCCTTCCTTCCTTCCTTCTCTATCCCTTCCTTCATTCCCTCTCTATATTTTCCCTCCTTCCTTCTCTATCCCTCCCTCCCTCTCTCCCTCCTTCCTTCTTTCCTTCCTTCCTTCATTACGTGAATGCAGCCCTAGCATTTAATGATCTCTGTGTACGTTATATAAACCCAGTCATCAATTTCTTTGTCTTTCTGTTCTTTCTCTCTCTTTTCTTCTTCTTTTATTTGGAGGAAGAAAACCCCATCAAGAATGATCCGTTGTCAATAATGTGAACCTTCTCTACTCATTCATTCTCCTTGCCATTTCCCCATCTTTCAGGGCCCCAAAAAATTCTCTCCTCATCTTTGCAGTTTGTGAAATGTGGAAATGCCGGATCCAATTTCCCAGAGCATATTTTCCCAGCTTTGGTGGGACATCCTATTATTCGGTCCAGCGTTAAGGTTGGCAATATTGAGATCAAGGTGAGTGATAATTGCCAAATTGTGCTTGGAGATTTATGCTGAAATCAGGCAATTTAATAACATTTGTATTGTTTATTTTATTCTGTGTTGCTTTGCAAACAAAAGCAACTTGCCCGCACCATTTATGTTTTTTGATCATGGACCATAATAATCTGATTATCTACCAATACTCTACCTCCTTCATCTTTTTACCTTCCTAACAGCCCTTTGAGGTAGGCCAGATCCCAAAACAGAAATAGTGGGACTCTATTGATGGAGGTCAGTGTTTTCAACTGTGGCAACTTTTAAGATATATGGACTTCAACTCCCATTAATTCATCTAATAAAATAAATAAAAATAAATCCCTGAATTCTTCATCCAGCATGCTTTAAGAAGTCTGGACTTCAGCTCCTCAGCCAGCATGCTTAAAGGATGCTTGCAAGGGAATTCTGGGAGTTGAAGTCCACCTATCTTAAAGTTGGGAATTCTGGGAGTTGAAGTCCACCCATCTTAAACCAGGCTGACTGGGGAATTCTGGGAGTTGCAGTCCACCCATCCTAAAGCAGGCTGGCTAGGGAATTCTGGGAGTTGCAGTCCATCCATCTTAAAGCATGTTTGCCAGTGAATTCTGGGAATTGAAGTCCACCCATCTTAATAGTTGCCAGGTTTGAGAAACATTGCCGTAGTAGGCTATAATCAAAGAAAGCTGAAAGCCTGACAGTGTTTTCTCCTCCCCTCCCTTTAAGATTTAATGAAGGTTGAGTCAGTTCTTTCTAGTAATTTTTACTGTCCTGGGCTAAAATTACGTTTTTCTCATTGCTGTTGCCCAATTTCTCCAAGATGTGGTACCTATCTGTGCATCTCCTTCTGCCCACAAGGGATGCGGTTTCCACTGAGTCTGTGCATGTGTGTATGCCCCCTTCATCTACAGGGGCAGTGTTGCCACCTGGATAGCAATAACATTTAGACTTATATACCGCTTCACAGTGCTTTTATAGCCCTCTCTAAGCGGTTTGCAGAGTCAGCCTCTTGCCCCCAACCACCTGGGTCCTCATTTTACCCACCTCGGAAGGACGGAAGGCTGAGTCAACCTTGAGCTGGTCATGATCGAACTCCTGGCAGTGGGCAGAATTAGCCTGAAATATTCTAATCATTGTGCCACCATGGCAAGGAAGGAAGGAAGGAAAGGAAAGAAATGGAAGGAAGGAAGGAAGGAAAGGAAAGGAAAGGAAAGGAAAGGAAAGGAAAGGAAAGGAAAGGAAAGGAAAGAAATGGAAGGAAGGAAGGAAGGAAGGAAGGAAGGAAGGAAGGAAGGAAGGAAGGAAAGGAAGGAAGGAAGGAAGGAAGGAATAATAGCACTTAGACTTATATACCGCTTCACAGTGCTTTACAGCCCTCTCTAAGCGGTTTGCAGAGTCAGCATATTTGCCCCCCAACAATCTGGGTCCTCATTTTACCCACCTCGGAAGGATGGAAGGCTGAGTCAACCTTGAGCTGGTCAGGATCGAACTCTTAGCAGTGGGCAGAATTAGCCTGAAATATTCTAATCATTGTGCCACCATAGGAAGGAAGGAAGGAAGGAAGGAAGGAAGGAAGGAAGGAAGGAAGGAAGGAAGGAAGGAAGGGCAGTAGTACTTAGATTTATATACTGCTTCACTGTGCTTTTACAGCCCTCTCTAAGCGGTTTACAGAGTCAGCCTCTTACCCCCCCAACAATCTGGGTCCTCATTTTACCCACCTCGGAAAGACAGAAGGCTGAGTCAACCTCGAGCCGGTCAGGATCGAACTGCTGGCAGCCAGCAGTCAGCAGAAGTAGCCTGCAGTACTGCACTCTAACCACTGTGCCACCACGGCTCATAGACCTCTATGGGTTTCATCCCTTGGTAGGACCTCATGGTGGGTGATGACGCCAGCAAGTTGCGTTCCATGTTGGAGGTGAACTACCCCATGGAGAACGGGATTGTGCGCAGCTGGGAGGACATGAAATACTTGTGGGACTACACATTTGGGCCGGAGAAACTCAACATCGACCCGCGTGACTGCAAGATCTTGCTCACGGAGCCCCCTCTGAACCCCACCAAGAACCGAGAGAAGATCATCGAGGTAAGCAGGGCTGGAGGTGATGATCAGGGACTCTTCCTGGAGGACTTGATCAAGGTTCTTTGAACAAGTTGCAATCTTTATTAATCCATTGTTGTTGTTGTTGTTTTGAATCAAGTTTTATTGATTTTTTTCCCCCCTCCATTTTCCCCTGCATATTTTATGAACAGAGTATTGGCCATGTCATCACTTATACAATGCAAGTACATTTTACTCAGTTACAATTTTTGCCAAAAAATTCCTTTTTCCATTTTTGAATCGTGTCTTAAAATTTCTGTTTATTTATATAAACAACATCTTAATTCGCCCTCAAATTCTAATTTTTCTGTTTGAACTCATATTTATTCTCTTTTTATTTTTTAATAATTCATTCTTTATCTGAGTACATTTTTTTATGGATGTTCGGGGTTGGCTTTCTTCCATTTTATCTTTTTTATTGTACAGCAATCTTTCTTCTCAGTCTCTCCCTCCCTTCTTTCCTTTCTACTTTCTTCTTCCCTCTTCTCCTATTCCTTCTCTACTTCCCCTTCCTTTCTCCCTCTCCTCCTCTCTTTCCCCCTTTCTAACCCTCTCTCCTACTCTTATTACTCTTATCCAGCCGTTGTTTTTTTGTGACACATGGTATTTATTATCCATTGTGCTATCTGCCGAAAAATGTATGATCTAAAATGTTTGTTAACTAACAAAAGGTACCTCTCCCTCTCCATCCATGCATCCTTCTGTCTGTCTATTCATCCATCCATCCAATCATCATCCATCAATCATCTATTCATCCATCAATTCCATTCAACTATCAATCATCTATCTATCTATCTATCTATCTATCTATCTATCTATCTATCTATCCTATATCTCTCAACTACTGTACTTATCTATCCATCCATCACCTGTCTATCTTATCTATCTTATCTATCATTTTCTCTATCACCTCTATCATCTCTCTATCGATCATCTACTTCTATCATCTATTTATCTATCCATCCATCCGTCTGTCTGTATCTATCCATCTATCTATCATCTATCTATCTATCTATCTATCATTTTATCTATCACCTATCTCATCTCTCTATCAATCATCTACCTCTATCATCTATGTATCTATGTATCTATCTGTCTTCTGTCTGTCTATCTATCTATCATTTATCTATCATTTTCTCTATCACCTATCTCATCTCTATCAATCATCTACCTCTCTATCTATCATCTATCCAACTGCCTCTCTGTCTGTCTCTCTGTTTATCTATCTATCTATCTATCTATCTATCTATCTATCTATCTATCTATCTATCTATCATCTATCTATCTATCTATCTATCTATCTATCTATCTTTCTATCTTTCTATCTATCCTTTACCTATCTCTATCCATTTGTCCTTTTTAATGCATGTTACCCATCTTTCATTTTTTTTAAAATCAAACTCTCTCTCTCTCTCTCTCTCTCTCTCTCACACACACACACACACACACACACACACACACACACACCCCTTGAATTACGATTGCCCATTACGGCAGTAAGTCGTGACAGTCGTAAAGTGGATTGATAGAACAATTAACACAATGAATAGAACAATTAACAATTAATGTTTTGGTAGGAAAAGATAACGTGGTAAGGTTATTATTGGCAGCCCCTGGAAGATTTATTCAAAGTAGTAAGGTGGCTTATTTATGGAATGCTCTCTTCCTGTCTTTCTTTATACAATCCAGGTTATGTTTGAAACCTACCAGTTTGATAATGTGTATATTGCGATCCAAGCTGTGTTGACACTTTATGCTCAAGGTAAGTCAGCTTTTTGTAAAAAAAACCTTGAGTGTTAAGCCTTTAGCCACAAAACTCCGGGTTGCACCAGGGGTGAAATGCTACTGTTTGCCCAAAAGGGTAGTAAAAAAATGCTTTAAAAAGTTTTTAAAAGTTAAATGGGAGTTGCAGTTAAATGCTGAAACCATCAATGCAGCATTATCTGGTTTATGATGATGATATTCGCCCAATCCTTGTACAGCTGCAGCATCTGATCATCCCCTTCTGCCCCCACCCCAATTTTCACAGGGCAGAGTTTTATAAGCATATTGTTCTTTCGGGGGGCTCCATCATGTACCCCGGCCTGCCGTCCCGCCTGGAGCGTGAGATCAAGCAGTTGTATTTGGAGAGGGTGTTAAACGGAGATGTAGGAAAACTGTCGGTAAGTGGGCAATGGAGAGTGGGGGGGGGGGGGGGGGCAAGGACCAGTCTCCAAGGGTCTGACCTCCTCTTGGCATTTTGGACGATGCCAGGCAGACATAAATTCCCAATCTTCTCTATTCACATTTTGATGAAAGAAAACTTGTCTTTTTGACCTCTAGCTACGTACCGGCAGTCCTCAACTTATGACGGTTCATTTAGTGACCGTTTTGAAGTTACAACGGCACTGAAAAAAAGTGACTTACAGTATGACCCTTTTTCACACTTACAACTGTTCTGGATCCCTGCGGTCCTGTTTGATCAAAATTCAGATCCTTGGCAAACGACTCGTATTTATGACGGTTGCAGTGTCCCGGGGGGAAGCCAGACCCAACGGGGAAGCCAGGCTCACTTAACAACTGTCCTACTCACTTAACGACTGCAGGGATTTGTTAAGTGGCAAGAAAGGTCATTAAATGGGGAAAAAACTCCCTTAACAACTATCTCACTGAGCAACCGGAAATTTTGGGCTCCATTGTGGGTCATAACTCGAGGACGAAATGTAATTTGGCTCTGCTGTCAACAATTGTAGCCGGGTTTCCAATTTTGAGCGTAACGAAGATGGTAAAACATTTGGCAGGGTTGAAGATGCTTTTTTTAAAAAAAAAATAAAATAAAATTAAAGTTTTATTTTGAGATTAAATAGAAATAGAAACCAAAATCAGGGAAGAGAAAGAAGGGAGAAGAGAGGTGAAAAGAGAAATAAATTAGTGACTTTTCAATTTTTTTCCAGGGCCGTAGGACAGCCTTAACCTTCTGCTTTATCTTTCTAGCTATTTCAAACCATTTCTATAACAACGGAATCGGTCCGGTCATCCTAACCTCAAATCCGAGTTTCATTATTATTATTATTTTTCCAACCTCAAGGACAAATTCCAGAAGCTGTTTCCAAGTAGAAAAGATAAATAATTTTCTTCTAATTAAAACTCAATTTTGCCATCTCGGCCACCTTCCTTCTTCCATGGTGGGAATTAGTGAAGTCTTTCTATCTTCGTGCATATAATCCTCGATTTACGACGATTGAGCAGAACATTTTCGTAAAATGTTGGATTGTAAAATGGAGCAGAACTCTCTTAATGAATGGCTCAACTTAGCATCAGCAAGAAATTTGGGACTCAATTGTTAGTCGTTAAGGTCAAGGATTACTTGTACGATTATAATTCCCGTGTCCGTTGGATCGTTTATTTGGGCAAAACTGGGCATCGTAGGGCAACCATTTCTGAATCAACGCAACCTCCGATAAGCTAAGCGAAAGAATGGGTCGCAAACGCAGGAACCATGATCTCTTGGGAATGGCTTAATGCTAGTGCTCTCTTTCAGAAATTCAAAATTCGCATCGAGGACCCCCCACGCCGAAAACACATAGTGTTCCTGGGGGGAGCCGTCCTCGCTGACATCATGAAAGACAAGGAGGGCTTCTGGCTTCCGACTATCTGGAAAAGGGGACCCGAGTTCTGGAGACACTCGGAGGGCCAGTGCGATAAATGGGGATGGACTCCTCTTGTCTTCCAGCCCGCTTTTCCTATCTTTCTTTCTTTCTCTTTCTCCCTTCCTTTTTTCCTTTCCTTTCTTTTTCTCTTTTCCTCCCTCCCTTCCTTTCCTTCCTTCTTCTTTCTCTTCCTCCCTCCCTTTCTTTTTCCTCCCTCCCTTTCCTTCCTTTCCTTTCCTTTTTCTCTTCCTCCCTCCCTTTCTTCCTTCCTTTCCTTTCCTTTCCTCTTCCTCCCTCCCTCCTTTCCTTTCTTCCTTTCCCTTTCTCTTCCTCCCTCCCTTTTTCCTTTTACTTCCTCCCTCCCTCCTTCCCTCCCTTTCCTTTTCTCTTCCTCCCTTTTTTTTCTCCTCCTCTTTCCTTCCTTCCTTTTCCTTCCTTTTCTCTCTTCCTCCCTCCCTCCTTTTTTCCTTTTCTTTTTCTTCCTCCCTCCCTCCCTTTCATTCCGTTCTTTCTTATGCAACTAGAACACCGCGTAGTTTTTGGAAGGGGGTGCTTTGGCCAATTGTTTGGGACGCTTTTGCTTTTCAAGTTGCTAGTCCTCTTCAAAGGGGGGAGGGATGGAGAAGGGTCCCAAGGGAATGTCAAATCGGTGTCTCTTTGAAATTTCAAAAGTTTGCCTTTCTGCAGTGCAGCTCCAGATAGTTCGAATTCGAATTTTGATAATTTTCATTAATATCTATCCTGACTTTTCAGGGGAAATAAGTTTTTTGGCCTTGTTGTTGGAAAGGAACATACTGCCAATTTTCACCTCACATCTCAGGGATACCCAGTGGTTAGAATGCGGTACTGCAGGCTACTTCTGCTGCCTGCCGGCTGCCTGCAATTTGGCAGTTCAAATCTCACCAGGCTCAAGGTTTGACTCAGCTTTCCGTCCTTCCGAGGTCGGTAAAATGAGGACCCAGATTGTTGGGGGCAAAAGGCTGACTCTGTAAACTGCTTAGAGACGGTGGTGAAGGACCGTGAAGCGGTATATGAGTCTAAGTGCTATTGCTATTCTTGCAAAATACAGAATAGAATACAGAATAAGAGAGTTGGAGGGGACCCTTGGAGGTCTTCCAGTCCAACCCCCTGCTCAAGCAGGAAACCCTCTACTTATATTCTACTTTTTTTTCCTGGCCATTCCATTTTAACTTCCTCCATCTTAAAAATAACCAGGAAAAAAAAATCATTTTACCTCAGGTAATTTTACCTCAGGATCAAAGGCTCTGCTTTCTCTCAAGATGTAATTTCTGAATTTTTTTCCCTGAATCAGGTTATCTTTCTAAGAAATGACTTTTAAAGGGGGGCCCAAACCAGCTATTAAAAATTCATTTGAGCCCCCCCCCCAGAGAGATCTGTGCCCTTCCCAAAAGATGACTGTGCTTGAAATGTAATTCATCTCCTCCTCAGTTTTGCTTTAAATAAAAAAAAAATTAACGTTCCTTTATATTTTTTACACATGAAAATGTGTATTTTAAAAAAGATCTCGTTAAACAAATCGCTGCAGTTGTTAAATGAATCGTGTGGTCGTTAAGCGAATCTGGCTCCTCCCATTGACTTTGCTTGAAGGAAGCCATTTGCCAAGCGACCAAATTTTGATCAGGTGACTGTGTGGATGCTCTGATGGTCGTAAGTGTGAGGACGGGTCATAAGTAATTTTTTTCTCTCACTTGAACTGCAAGATGGAACAGCAAATAAATTTGGTAATTTTTTCCCCCAGCCCTGTTGTAACTTCAGACACTAAACAAGTGGCTGTTGTCATAAATCAAGGACTGCTGTACAGGTAATCCGTGATTTACAATGATTCGTTTAGTGACTGTTGTAAGTTACTGAAAAAAACTTGACTTATGACAGAGATGGGCAACTATGGCTCTTTTACGACTTGTGGACTTCAACTCCCAGAATTCCTGCGCCAGCCATGTTAGCTCAGGAATTCTGGGAATTGAAGTCCACAAGTCATAAAAGGGCCATAGTTGCCCACCTCTGATTTATGACCATTTTTCACACTTATGACTATTGCTGCATCCCCGTAATCACGTGACTTACATTTGGATGCTTGACAAGCGACTCATATTTATGATGGTTGCGGCATCCCGGGGATCCCCTTTTGCGACCTGCCGAGGAGCAAAACCAATGAGGGGGAAACGCCCGATTCGCTTAACGCCCGTATGACGAATGGTAACAACAGCAGCGATTCAGTTAAGAACCGTGGCGAGAACAGGGCAAAACTCACTCGACAAACGTCTTGCTTAGCGACATCAATTTGGGGCTCAAATTGCGGTCGTAAGTCGAGGACTACCTGTCGAAAACAAAGCCGGAGAGAAAAAAGGGAGACAAAAGTTTGCAAAAGGGGATTTTTTTTGTGATTTAATCGCAAAAATGGAAAAAGCCCAGTTTGGAAAAACGTAGACAATTGAAATTTTGTGTTTGTAATTGGGCTGTAGTTTTAAATCAGGCCGCTTCCTTTGTTGTCTGTGTGTGGTTTAGCGTCGGTTGCAAAGCCAGCCGGTTGGGTGAGTTGTGGGTTCAGTGTGTTTGTGAACGTGGAAAAAGAGAGGCTGAACCACAAAACAGGTTGAACACGTTGTGCAAACGTGAGTCATTAGATTCCCTTAACCCGCTGGGAAAACGCCTCCAAGTTTTAACGCTGGCTCGATTAAAAACAGAGTTGGCCCATCACAACAGCTGTGTTACCTTACAGATAGTCCTTGACTTACGACAGTTCGCTTAGTGCAGGGGTCTGCAACCTTAAAACACTCAAAAGAGCCATTTGGACCCGTTTCCCACAGAAAAGAAAACACCGGGAGCCACAAAACCTTCCCGTGCCTGACTATTTCTCGAGCGGCCACAAAACTAGCAAATGTAGTTGAATTAAATGTTCTGTTTTCTTCTGAAACTTTTCTTTTCTTGGATTTATCCCTGGTTGGCCTACCGGGGGTTGAAAAGCTCAATAAATCGCGTGCCGGTGGGTGTCGCACATTGGCGGGGTTGACGCATATTTTGAGTGACAGGGAGCCACAGCAGAGGGATGAAAGAGCCACATGCGGCTCCAGAGCCGCAGGTTGCTGACCCTTAGTTTAGTGACTAATCTCAGTTTTTCAACGGCACTGAAAAAAAAAAAAGACTTATGACCGTTTTTCACGGTTACGACCGTTGCAGCATGCCCCCAATCATGGGATCGCTTGGCAACTGGTTCATATTTATGATGATCACAGCACCCCGGGGGTCACGCGATCAACTTTTGCGACCATCTGAGAGGCAGTGGAGGGGAGCCAGATTCGCTTAACAATGGCGGGACGAACTTAGCCGCTGCACTGATTCGCTTAACGACGGCGGCCAAACTCCTCTTAGCAAATGTCTCCCTTAGCAATGTGAAACATTGGGCTCAACGGCGGATCCTCAACAAGGAATTACCTCAGATGGTAATTCCATTCTGCCATTCCCAGATGCGGGGGGAAAAAAATTAAATAATCCCACAATCGCCTCTGAGATTTTCCTCTTTTTTAATAAATTTAAGAACAGCCCCTTTCAAACCCCCTGTGATTCCCCCCCTCAACCCCCCACCCCACCCTCCCATCCCAAATGGCAGCAGTGAAAACGGAAACGGAGAGGGGGGGAAGGTTAAGAGTCATAATCTTCCTCTTCTCCTGCCTGGACTGGCGCGAGCGACGCAGGCGGAAGTGCAACGGGGACTGTTCCTGTTGGAGCCGGTACAGGCAAGGGGGTAGCGGATACGGGAGGGGCTGTAAAATGGAGGTAGGGTGCAGGAGCTCTGTAGGAAGAAGAGAGAAGAAATCAGCTGCGTTTTTAGGCGACACAAGCTGAAAATTGGAGATATATTTGTGCAATTATTATTAAAAGAGCCGTTTGGTCTAGCGGAGAAGGCGCTAGGGTTAAGAAAGTGGGAGACTGTGAGTTCTAGTCCCGCCTTAGGAAGGAAAGCCGGATGGATGACTTTGGGTCAATGACCAGGAGACTTGTGAGTTCTAGTTCGGCCTTAAGGCAGGAAAACCCGAATGAGTGACTTTGGGCCAATCACCAGGAGACGGTGAGTTCTAGTCCCGCCTTAGGCTAGAGGACATTGAGCCAATCACCAGGAGACTGTGAGTTCTAGCCCGCCTTAGGCTAGAAGACATTGGGCAAATCACCAGGAGATGGCGAATTCTAGTCCTGCTTTACGGCCAGAAAGGTTATGTAATGGGCTAGAAGTCACTTAACAAGTGTCTCGCTTAGCAACATAAATTGTTGGGCTCGATCGGGGTCATAGGTCGAGGGCTTTCTCCTTGTCCCAAACACCCACAGGTCTTCCAAAAAACGGTATCGAAGAAAGAGAGAAAAATAAGAAAATATGAATTACGGAGCGAGATGTGTAGGAGCTGGTTGTATAGACGGGATCGTTGGCAAAGCTTCCTCTTCTCCGTTGCTTTCACTCTCTTCCGAATCATCCTGTCAAAAACGAACAGAATAACAAAGAGTTGGAAGAAGAGACCTGTGAGGTCTTCTACTCCAACCCCCTCTAGACAGGTCGTCCTCGACTTACAACCGTTCATTTAGTGACCATTCAAAGTTACAACGGCACTGAAAAAAAAGGGACTTAGGACCGTTGTTTCACACTTACGACCGGTCCCCCCCCCACGGTCACGTGATCACAAATTCAGAGGCTTGGCAACGGATTCGCATTTATGACGGTTCAGGGGATCCCCTTTTGCGACCTTGACAAGCAAAGTCAACGGGGAAATCAGATTCGCTCAATAGCCGTGTTACTAATTTAACAACGGCAGTGAGTCCCTTAGCAGAGGCTGAAAAGGAAAGTCATAAAATGGGAGAAAAACTCACTGAGCACATTTCTCCCTTAGCAAGATAAATGTTGGGCTCCACAGCGTCTGGAGACAGCCAAAAAAGCCAATACAATCCTAAATTGCATTAACAGAGGGATGCAATAAAGATCAAGGGAGGTACTAACGCCACTCTATAAAGCCTCTAGGCCACACCTAGAGTACTGCATCCAATTTTGGTCACCACACTATAAAAAAAGATGCGGAGACTCTAGAAAGAGTGCAGAGAAGAGCAACCAGGAGGATGAGGGGACTGGAGGATAAAACATACGATGAACGGTTGCAGGAACTGGGCCTGGCTGGTCTAGGGAAGAGAAGGACCAGGGGAGACAGGAGAGCATCTTCCAATATTTGAGGGGCTGCCACAGAGAGGAGGAAGGGGCTCAAGCTATTTTCCAAAGCAGGCCAGACAAGGAACAATGGATGGAAACTCGACAAGGAGAGATTCAACCTGGAAATAAGGAGGAACTTTCTGACAGTGAGAACAATCAACCCACGGAACAGAAGTTGCCTTCAGAAGTTGTGGGAGCTTCATTACTGGAGGCTTTCAAGAAAAGACTGGACTGCCATCTCTCAGAAATGGTGTAAGGTCGCCTGCTTGGGCTGTGGGGTTGGACTAGATGACCTCCAAGGTCCCTTCCAACTCTGTCTGTCTGACTGCCTGTATCATTTCAGAGAAAATTTCAGCAAAGGCATTTCCCAGAGCATTATGGGAAAGTAATTTCTTATTTTCCCCATAATGCTCCTTGCATCATCGGTCTGACCCCGGAATTAAAGTCTTCAATTACATTGCACGACAGCCACTCGTGAGAAAATGCCATGTTTGGCTCCCAACTTACGTCCTGTTCCGAGTCTGTGCCGGATTGTTTCGGATCTTTTCCTTTTCCCGCCGTGCCACCGTTCCTTCGCCCGCTGCCAGGTTTCCGGCCCCTGCGGCAGAAGAGGGGGAAAAAAAATAATCTTTTATTAAAAAAAAAAAAAAAAAGGTGGAACAGTGGTTTGGTTTGTATTATAGGTAGTCCTCAGCTTATGGCCACAATTGGGACCTGGATTTCCACTGCTAAACAAGGCGAATTGTTTGGTGAATCATGCCTGATTTTACGACCTCTTTTGCCATGGTTGTTAAGTGAGTCACTGGAATTCTTAGCTGAATCGTGCCTGATTTTACGACCTCTTTTGCCACAGTTAAGTGAATCACTGGAATTTTTAGCTGAATCATGCCTGATTTTACGACCTCTTTCCCCACCATTAAGTGAGTCACTGCCGTTCTTAAGTGAATCATGCCTGATTTTACCTCTTTTGCCACGGTTGTTAAGTGACTCCTAGAAAGGCTCTGGAGGCTGGGGAGAGCAAAAAACGGGCCTTCCCCACCACCCCCGAGGCCCTCCGGAGGGCCTGTTTCCCTACTTCTGAGCTGAGCTCGTGTGCCCATTGATATGGCTATGCGTGCCATCTTTGACATGCGTGGCCATAGGTTCACCATCACGGCCCTACACCATTTCTGACAGATGGCAGTCCAGTCTCTTCTTGAAAGTCTCAAGCGATGGGGCTTTTAACAAGTCGCAAGCCAATTCAGCAACATCTTCCATCCAAAACTTTCATGCGGATCCCTTCCAGCCTCCCACGTTGAATTTAATTTAATACAGGTAGTCCTCGGCTTACGGCAATGGAGCCCCAAATTTCTGTTGCTAAGAGAGACAAACTGTCAGACCTGGAAGCCGTCTGTTACATTGGATCTTCAGGCCTGCCACATTTACTGCTGTGGGAAACTGGGAGGGGGGATTGTACGGAGATAGGGTGATATGTAGCCAAAACAACATTCCTTTCTCTGAGAGTCAAGGACATCCTGCCCTGAACCTGGAGTGGCGTGACTGGGAGGCATCTCCAATTGGGAAAGTGCATTGATTGGACCATGTGATGGACATATGAGTGCAGGGGAAGGGACTAGGACTTTCCTTTGGGTGGGGAAAACCCGGAAGCTTTCAGATTCGGCTTTTCCCAGATGTGCCAATAGGACATCTCTAATAAAATGGAACTTTGAGGAATTTCAAGCCTCGGAGTCTTCTTTCATTGGGGGTGTTCCTTAGATCCCTGATGTAAACGTTAAGTGAGATTGCCCAGTTTTACCACCTTTCTTGCCACGGGGGCTAAGTGAATATTGCGGTGGTTAGGTTTAGTCCCACGGCTGTGAAGTGAATTTGGCTTCTCCCTTGATTTTTGCTTCCTGCAAAAAGGGGATCTTGTGACCCCGCGACACTGCAACCGTCATAAATACAAGTCAATCGCCAACGGTCTGAATTTTTTTATCGCGGGGATGCAGCGAGGTGTGAAAACAGTCGGGGGGGTTTTCACTCGTAATTTCGGTCACTAAAAACGAACGCTTGTAAGCAGGGGTGGGCTTCAAAAATTTTAGCAAGGGGTTCTCTGCCCGGTTGCATGGTGAGCGTGGCCTAGTCGGCCTCCTGCACCACGGTGGTGGTGGTGGGGGAAACGGTGTTTTTGCCCTCCCTGGGCTCCGGAGGCTTTCCTTGAGCCTCCGGGAAGGTGAAAACGGCCTCCTCAGGCTCCGGAGGCCAGAAACAGGCCCAAACTTCCGGTAGGCCTGTTTTTCACCCTCCCCATGCCTCCGCGTGCACTCTGCACTTATCTGCATCCAAAACAGGCCGTGTGGGGACTCCTGGGAGGGGCGGGGCAGGCGGGGCCAGCCAGGAGTGGGATTTGGGGGTTTTCCGAACTGCACAGAATCTTAGCTAGAGGTTCTCCCGAACCCTTGCGAACCCTCAGCAGCCCACCTCTGCTTGTAAGTCAAGGACTATCGATATTCCCCCATCTCGCTTGAAGGCGTTCCGGGATCGACAGATCTTTTCGGGTTGATTTTCGTGACCTACCGACGGGAAACCTTCTCTCCCGCTTCCATGTGGTTGTCCTCGGCGTCGCCTTGCATATCGGGTACCGAAGCCACCAGGTCCTTCAGGAAATCAAACTGCTGCTCCTGTTCTATGCATTGTTTCCTGCAAAATTCACACCGCGGGGTTACCTGGATTGGCCCGCCCCAACCTGGCGACGTGAGAAAGGTTAGGGTTTTGTTTTTGAATCTGGAGAGATCGGCTCCTGGTTTTGGGGGAGGGCTAAGGGTTGGGGGTGCCCTCAGGAAGCCATCTGAATCGGTGAACGGTAAGTTCCAACTCATTTATTTATTATTTATTACAGGGAATGGAATAGAATAGAAAATAGAATAAAATAGAATATAGAATACAGGAAATAGAATAAATAGAATTAGAATTAGAATGAATAGAATACAATTAGAAAGAATAGAAAACAGAATAGAATAGAAAATAGAATAAAATAGAATAGAGAATAGAATAAATAGAATTAGAATAAGAATGAATAGAATTAGAAAGATAGAAAACAGAATAAAATAGAAAATAGAATAAAATAGAATAGAGAATAGAGAGAATAGAATAGAATAAATAGAATTAGAATAAGAATGAATAGAATTTAGAAAGAATAGAAAACAGAATAAAATAGAAAATAGAATAAAATAGAGAATCGAGAATAGAATAGAATGAATAGAATAGAATTAGAATGAATAGAATTAGAAAGAATAGAAAACAGAATAGAAAATAGAATAAAATAGAGAATAGAGAATAGAATTAGAATGAATAGAATTAGAAAGAATAGAATTAGAAAGAATAGAAAACAGAATAGAATAGAGAATAGAATAGAGAATAAAGAATAGAATAAATAGAATTAGAATGAAGAGAATAGAGAATAGAATAGAATAGAATAGAATTCTTTTATTGGCCAAGTTTGATTGGACACACAAGGAATTTGTCTTTGGTGCTTAAGCTCTTAACGTACATAAAAGATATAAGTGATAAATCATAAAGCACAGTCATCATAAATACATCATAAATAGTTCTCCACTTACGACTGCATTTGAGCCCCAAATTTCTGCGGCTTATACTTATAAGTACCGTATATACTTATACTTAATTCTGGAGATGGGACACTTTTGAGAAAAACGGCATGGGTCGCCTCGTTCGAAAAATGGCACGCGTCGCCTCTACAACCAAACCAAGTGCCGTTCTTCTGCAAAGCCTCAGGCAAGATTCTAGTCCTCATGATTATAAAGAAGGGAGACCCCCTGTGATATTCCAGTCCTTGGGAGCTCAGCAAGGCCTACCACCACCGTCGCAGCCGTTCTGATGAGCAAGAAGGCTCCGCCCTGAGGAGAGGGGAGCTTGGCAGCCAATACCGTGTTTCCCCGAAAATAAGATCCTGTCTTATATTTTTTTGAACCCCGAAATAAGCGCTTGGGCCTTATTTTCGGGGAGGTCTTATTATTTTGGGGCACATGGAGCAAGACGGGGCTCCTCTTGCCGTCTTACCTGATTTCCAGCTCTGTCTCCCTAACCCTAACCAGAGGAAATGGCGGCTGTACATGCGGTTAAATATTTTCAGGGAGGGCTTATTTTCGGGGGTGGATTTTAGCGCATGCTCTCAAAAGCCCGATTGGGCTTATTATCAGGGGAGGTCTTATTTTTGGGGAAACAGGGCACTCACAGGTGGGACGTTGTCATCGTTTTGGCGTTCCTGGATTGGGTGACGTGGCAGGCGGTCTTCAGCAGGGATTCCAGGAACAGCTCCAGCGCTCGCGCTGCGGATCGGAGTTAAGAGCAAGAACGATCCCAAGATTTTCCCCTCCTTCCAATCAAATCAAGACGATTTTAAATAACGTCTTCTTTACCAACTAGGTAATGTCATCAGTACTAAAAGAGGAGGAGGAGGGTTTGCGGTCTACGAGCACCGATGATGTTACCCAGTTGGGTCGTGAAATGTCTGTAGGAAAAACACCCAAGCTCGGCTTAGAGGTCTCCTTCCTCCTTTCACGCTTGAATGATGATGATGTTACCTAGTTGGGTCATGGAAGGTCTTGCAAACTCCATTCCCCTTCTAGCACTGAGGATGTTGCCTAGTTGGGTTGTGAAACAGCTGAAAGGAAACCCAAAAAAACTCAAGAGAGACCACACAGTTGTCGTCCTCTCTGCAACCCCATTCTCTTTTAGCACTGATGACAGGGGTGAAATGCTACCGATTCGCCCGAACTGGTAGCGGAGCATGGTTCGGAGAACTGGTAGCGGCGGCAGCGCAAGGCTCCATCCACTCACCTGGATGTTGTTACTTCCTGGTTTTAACCTGGAAGTAACCTGTTTTTGACCTTCTGCGCATGCGCAGAGGGTCAAAGCGCACACATGATGCGCACACGCGGAGCGCGCCTTCCGCACCAGTAGGGAAGGTAAGTAGATTTCACCCCTGACTGATGATGTTACTTAGTTGGGTCCTGAAAGTTCTGCAAGGAAATGACCAAGGTCAGAGAGCATCAAAGACATAATAATAATAATAATAATAATAATAATAATAATAATAATAATAATAATAATTATTATTATTATTATTATTATTATTATTATTTCTTCTTCTCTTTTTTCTTCTTCTCCTCCTCCTCCTCCCAAATTTCAGAAGATCTTGATCAAAATTCTCTTCTCCTTCTCCTCCTTCTCTTCCTCCCAAATTTCAGAAGATCATGATCAAAATTCTCTTCTCCTTCTCCTCCTCCTCTTCTTCCTCCTCCTCCTCCTTTCCTCCTTCCTCCTCCTCCCTCTCCACTCCACAATCCCCATTCCTTTCTAGCACTGATGATGTTACCTAGTTGGGTCATGAAATGTCTACAAGGAAGCAACCAAGCTCAGAGAGCATCAAAGACCCTACAATAATATCACTGTCAGACTTCGATGCTATCTCATAATAAATGAATTTCCAAACTGCCAATCTTTAAGGAAATCTTCTCTTTAATTGAGCACAGCAACCGGATCATGACTCGATGCGGACAAGACTGACCTTTTGCCCCCCAATCCCTCCCTTTCCGATCCCCAATTATCTGCTTCTCATTGGCTATCTTCCAAGTCACTCCACTGACTTGTCTCGTCATTTCACAGGAATGTCTCCCCCCTCCTCATTTCCACGACGACCGGGCTTCAAAGGGATTTAGCAGGCAAAAGTTCAGGGCTTATCTCTCTCCTCACTATGCCAGCGGTAAGATGCTGACAATCACATCATCATCATCATCTCCTCCACCTCCTCCTTAATCCCCACTCCCTTCTAGCACTGATGATGTTACTTAGTTGGGTCATGAAACGTTTGCAAGAAAAAAACATCAAGCTCGGTAAGCACCAAGAATCCCAACGTCCTAGAACGTCTGCAGTTCCAGAACAGAGAAGACCCCCCACCTCCACCCCCAAGGCTGGAGAAAGAGGATACAAATGATCACCGGGACTGCAGCCGCCACTTTGCCAATTTCTTCATCCGTCTGCATGATCTTCTTGATTCGAGCCTTTCAAATGTAAGGGGGGGGGAGGAGGAGGGAGAGAGGGAGGGAGAGAAGGATGGGGAGACGAGAGAGAAACTTTTTATTGACTGGTCCTACAGTATAAACAGTCGGCAGTTCAGCGGTTCGAATCCCGAGTACCGCCTAACGGGGTGAGCTCCCGTGACCTGTCCCAGCTTCTGTCAACCTAGCCGTTCGAAAGCAGGTTAAAAAATGCAAGTAGAAAAACAGGGACCCCCTTTGGTGGGAAGGGAACAGCGTTCCGTGCGCCTTTGGTGTTGACTCATGCCAGCCACATGACCACGGAGACGTCTTCGGACAGCGCTGGCTCTTCGGCTTTGAAACGGAGATGAGCACCACCCCCTAGAGTCAGGAACGACTAGCACATATGTGCGATGGGAACCTTTACCTTTTACCTTACAGTATAAACAAGCTTCAGAATACAGGGAGTCCTCGAGTTACGACCACAACTGAGCCCCCAACATTTCCATCGCTAAGGAGACGTTTGTTAAGTGAGTTTTGACCCATTTTACGAATGGAGGCCTTTGGTGCTGGAGAAGACTCCTAAGAGTCCCTTGGACTGCAAGGCTATCCAACCGGTCGGTCCTAGAGGAGATCAACCCCGACTGCTCTCTAGAAGGCCAGATCCTGAAGAGGAAACTCAAATCCTTTGGCCACCTAAGGAGAAGGAAGGACTCCCTGGAGAAGAGCCGAATGCTGGGAACGATGGAGGGCAAAAGGAGAAGAAGGGGACGGCAGAGAAGGAGGTGGCTGGATGGAGTCACTGAAGCAGTTGGCGTGAGCTTAAATGGACTCCAGAGGATGGTAGAGGACAGGAAGGCCTGGAGGAACGTTATCCATGGGGTCGCGATGGGTCGGACACGACTTTGCAACCAACAACAACAAAATTAAGTCGATTGAATCATGTAATAACTATGATTAATTCTACTAGTTTTATTCGTATTAGAATGTATGACACTCAGATGCCACGCTGTTCACTCGTCGATACGTTTGTAAAAAAAATAAACAACTTGAATAGGCAAAGTTACAATGGCACTGAAAAAAGTAAACGTAGGACCATTACTCACACTTACGACCATTAGCAGCATCCCCATGGTCACGCGACTAAAATTCAAAATACGGCAACTGACTCATATTTATGACGGTGGCAGTGTCCCCAGGGGGATCCCCCGATCCCCTTTTTTGTAACCTTTTGACCAGCAAAGTCAATGGGGAAGCTGGATTCACTTTATAACCGTGTGACTTAACGTCACAGCTGCAGTGATTCGCTTAGCGACGGTAGCAAGAAAGGTCGGGAAAGGGGGCAAAAGTCACTTAACGACTGTCTCAACAACATAAATGTTGGGCTTAATTGTGATCGTAAGTTGAGGACTATCTGTATGCACAACGATGGGCTGATTTGGGCAGGGAGGGGTTAGACAAGATGACCTACAAGGTCCCTTCTGTATCTGAGTCCCACAATGGAGGAATGGATGATAAACGCGACGGAGGTGGCAGAGATGGCAAAATTGACTTTAATTAAAAGAGAAGAAATAATCTTGTGGGTTTTTTTTTCTACTCAGAAACGGTTTCTGGAATTTGTCCTTGAGGCTGGAGAAAAAATAAATAACGAAACTCTGATTTGAGGTTATGATGACCGTTGTTATAGAAATGGTTTGAAATAGCTTAGAAAGCTAAAGCAGAAGGTTAAGGCCCTGAAAAAAAATTGAAAAGTCACTCATTTATTTCTCTTTTCACCTCTCTTCTCCCTTCTTTCTCTTCCCTGATTTTGGTTTCTATTTCTATTTAATCTCAAAATAAACTTTAATTATTTTTTTTTAAAAAAAACATTTTTCAACCTTGTCTCTACCGTTTTACCATCTTTGCTATGCTCAAAATTGGAAATCCGGCTACAACTGTCGACAGCAGAGCCAAATATAATGTAATTACATTTAGTCCTCGAATTACGCCCCACAATGGAGCCCAAAATTTCCCTGTCGCTCAGCGAGATCATTGTCAAGTGAGTTGGCCCCATTTTACGACTTTTCTTGTCACGCTCGTTAAGCGAATCATGGCAGTCGTTAAGTGAGGAAGACACCGTTGTTAAGGGAGTCTGGCTTCCCCCCGTTGGGTCGCCAAAGGGAATCACGCAACCGGACTGACTCCGTTGTTATAGAAATGATTTGAAATAGCTAGAAATTGAAAGCAGGTGGTTAAGGCTTCCTACTGCCCTGAAATTTTTTTTTTTTGAAAAGTCACTATTGAAAGTCCTCAACTTACAACAGTTCATTTAGTGACCATTCAAAGTTACAACGGCACAGAAAATTAGACTTACGACCGTTTTTCAGAGTTACAACCTTCGCAGCATCCCCATGCTCACGGGATCAAAATTCAGACACTTAACAACTGGTTCATACTTACGACGGTTGCTGTGTCCCTTTTATGACCTTTTGCTAAGCCAAATCCAGATTCACTCAACAACTGTGTTGCTAATTTAACCACCACAGCAATTCACTTAACAACCTGCAGCAAGAAAGGTGGTAAAACAGGACAAAATTCACTGAACAAAGGTCTCGCTTAGCAACCGACTAATTTGGGTTCCGTTGTGGTCGTTAAGTCAAGGACTGCCTGTAATGCCAACTAGATGAAAAAAAAATCAGCCGAGTTGCCTTGTCAAAAATAAAAAAACGCTTTTGATACAACTGTAAAATATGGATGACTGAGAATCTTCACAGACATCAATTTATTTATTTATTTATTTTTATTAATCAAATTTCTATACCGCCCTACTCCCGAAGGACTCAGGGCGGTGAACAGCCAAGATAAAATACAGATAATACAAATATTAAAAAATCCCTTAAAATTATTAAATATTTCGGCCGAAACACAGATTAAAACACCCAATTTGTAAAATCACGAATTAAAAAATTTAAAAATTTAAAAGATGGGAGTTAGGCCAGGCCAGCTTGCTGAAATAGAAAAAGAAGAAAAAAATAATAATTCTTTTTATACCTCCAGAAAACCGAGGTGTAAAAAGCTAATATTGGAATGTTTTCGGTGAATAAAAACAGGGGGGGAAATTAACATGCAACAAGGCTGTTCAGAGATACCACAAGTGTATTTATTTTAAGGCGAAGTGTAAACAAAGGCAGATGAACAAACACGAAGAGAAAAAAAAACAAAAAACAGATTGTATGAAGAAGAGCCGAGATCTCTCTAAAAGAACCATGGGTTAATCTAGGTTTGTTGACTTAACCACAACTCGGTCAATGGCACGATGCCCTCTGCCATGAACCACGATTGACAAACCGAATGTTTAGCTCGGCGTGACAGCTAAACCACCAATCAACCCTATTATGGACTAGTTCAGTGATGGCTAACTTTTTTGCCGTCGCGTGCCAAAAGCGGGGGGGAGCGCGCGGGGGGGGCACGCCTGCACGCGTGCCCACACGCATAATTCAATGCCCCCCACGCATGCGCATGTGACCCCCCCCACACACGCAGCTCCCTCCGCTTTTGGCACGTGATGGTCCGGTGGGCCCGGTAGGCCCGTTTTTCACTCTTCCCAGGCTCCAGAGCCTTTCTAGGAGCCTGGGGAGGGCAAAAATGGCCTTCCTCAACCCCCCCGCCCCCACTACGGAGGCCCTCCAGAGGCCAGAAATGGCCTGTTTGCCAATGGGCCAGGAAGGCCCGAAAATCAGCTGGCGGAGCTGAGCTCGTGTGCCCACTGATACGGATCCACGTGCCACCTGTGGCACGCGGGCCATAGGTTCGCCATCACGGGACTAGTTAGTAGTTCAGTCTGAACCCCAAGAAATTCAAGTTCCTGTAATAAACCAGAGCTAAAACAAATCATAGTTTTAATACACAGCCGTCATGGCATCTTTTAAGGATGGGGAAATAAAAGTTTTCCAACTGGAGAAAAAAGAACATAAAATGAGGTGCTCCTATAAGCAATTGGAAATACAAACGCACTAGATCGCAATGCAGATAGTCCTTGATTTATGACCGAGCTCAAAATTTAGGTTGCTAAGCGAGACAGGGGTTAAGTGAGTTGTGCTCCCATTTTACCAACTTCCTTGCTACAGTTGTTAAGTGAAGCACTGCAGTTGTTCAGTTAGTAACATGGTTGTTAAATGAATCCCCATTGACCTTGCTTGTCAAGTCACAAAAGGAGATGACGTGACCCTGGGATACCACAACCGTCATAAATGCGAGTCAGTAGGCAAGTGTCTGAAGATTATGTGACCATGGGGATGTTGTATTGGCCGTAAGTGTGAAAAACGGTCATAATAAGTCACTTTTTTCCAGTGCCATTGTTAAATCCGAACAGTCACTAAATGAATTGTTATAAGTTGAGGACTAACTATAGAATCAGCAAGAAATGGGTGGTAGAACGATTAAAAAAATATATATTTAAAAACTCAAAATATTTTTTAGTATCCTAACACATAGCAAAATAAAAATATTATTGTAAGGATACTGAGAAGACGATGTCCCAAGTAAGGTGAAAATGATCAGAATAATTTGATACTTTTAATAGTGCAGGGCAATCAACCTTATAATCTCTCCTCGCCATCGCAGGCTGCAACGCCCATAATCCTCAGCCAGACTGACCGATGCTATTGCTGTCTAGGAAATGATAGGAGTTACCCAATAGCACATCTGGAAGTGCCCAAAGCTTCCTATATATGCTATCCTGAAGCCCATAAACCATATTTTAACCTACAATACAGACAATAAACCAATTTATGGCTTTGCCAGAGCTGGGAAGACCCTTCATTTTGGGGGGTGGAGGGGAGCAGCCAATGCTCAGCTTGGTCTGGAGGAAGGGGGCAAGGGGGGTCTTCCTCTCCCATTGCAAAAGAGTCCCCAACATCTGTTTCTGCAAAGTTGGGGGTTGGGGGCTTAAAACCCAGAGATGGAGGCAGGAAACAGCTGTTGCAGCAAGGATGGTTACAAGATTGGGGAAGAGGAGGAGGAAGGGGCTTGGCTTTCAGGACCCCCACCCCAAGGAAGCACAATGGGGAAGGGGCTCATCATTCTGGAGAAGCGGAAGTGGGGGGGTGGATTGCTGGATGCAAAAAGGGGCATCCCAGAAAGAGGGGCAGGGGGCTGCAAAGATGGGGAGGGGCTGCAAGATGAGGGGAAGGGGGGAGGCAGATGCAAAGGGAGGGGGAAGGGGGTTGCAAAAGGAGGAGGGGGTTGCAGAGGCGGAAAAGGGGCTGTAACAGAGGAGGGGGCTGCAGAAGGAGAAGAGGGGCTGGCAAGAGGAGGGGAGGGGAGCTTTAAAAGGGGAGGCAGAGGGGGGGTTTAAAAGGAGGAGGGGGTTGCAAAGGGAGGAGGAAGGGTCTGCAAAGGGGAGTGCAAAAAGAGGAAGGGGATGCAAGGGGGGAAAGAGGGGCTTTTAAAAGGAGGAGGGGGGCTGCAAAAAAAGGAGAGTGAGTTGCAAAGGGGGGGAAGGGGATGCAAAGCTGCAGAGGGGGGGTCGCTAAAGCAGGAGGGAGATGCAAAAAGAGGAGGGGGTTGCAAAGGGGGGGGCTTTCAAAGGAGGAGGGGGATTGGAAAAGGAGGAAGGGGGAGGCTTTCAAAGGAGGAGGGGGGCTGCAAAAGAAGAAGAGAGAGTTGCAAAGAGGGGAAGGGGGTTGCAAAAAAGAGGAGGGGGTCGCAAAGGGAGGAAGCGGGGGTTTAAAAGGAGGAGGAGGCTTGCAAAAGGAGGAGGGGGTCGCAAAGGGGAAGGGGGGGTTTAAAAGGAGGAGGGGGGCTGCAAAAGGAGAAGAGAGTTGCAAAGCGGGGAAGGGGGTTGCAAAAAAGAGGAGGGGGTCGCAAAGGGGAGGAAGGGGGAGCTTTCAAAGGAGGAGGGGGCTTGCAAAAAGGAGGGGGCTGCAAAAGGAGAAGAGAGCGTTGCAAAGCGGGGGAGGGGGCTGCAAAGCGGGGGAGGGTCCCCCGGGTTGCAATCAGCCCCCTCCCCCCCCCGATTCTACCCTGCCCCCCCCCCTCCAGGGCTGGGGAGGGGGGAGGAAGAGGAGGAGGAGGCGGCGGCTCTCGCTCACCGGAGGGAAGCGGGCGTTGTATTTCTTCTTCTTGCTCGGCATGGCTCCCGTCCCGGCTGCAGCGGCCGCTCCGCCCGGGCCTGTCGCGCGAGCCCCGCACCGGACGAGGCTCCAGCAGCGGCGGCCTGGGAAGGAGCCGCCCCGGGGCCGGGGCCCCAACGCCTCCGCGCGGTCCTAGCGCCCGCCCGGCTCCCTGCGCAGGAAGGCGGAGGCGGAGGGGAGGGGAAGAGGGGAGGGGAAGGTGCGCGCGGCCATCCCGTTCCTCTGCAGGCGAAGGACAAGGGGTGGGGGGGGGAGGAATGGAATGCCTCCTCTAAGCATGTGCAGAGGGCCCTAGGGAACAAGCCTCTGGAAAACCTAAGCCTGCATGAAGTCCAGATGATAGAATGACAAGAGTGAAGTTGGAAGGGACCTTGGAGGTCTTCTAGTCCAACCCTCTGCTCTCTTTCTCCTCCTCCTTCTCCTTTTTCTCCTCCTCAGAATAATAAGAATTGGGCCTTGGAGGTCTTCTAGTCCAACCCTCTGCTTCTCTTTCTCCTCCTCCATTCTCCTTTTTCTCCTCCTCAGAATAATAGGAGTTGGAAGGGACCTTGGAGGTCTTCTAGTCTAACCCTCTGCTCTCCTTCTCCTCTTCCATTCTCCTTTTTCTCCTCAGAATAATAAGAGTTGGAAGGGACTGTTGGAAGAAACATCCTTCTAGGTTCTGCTCCAAGTGGGGAAAACAGACACTGGAAACATGGAGACTGCTTGGAAAGATGGTTTAATGGTGGACAGGATCACATGGCTTGAGTTCCTGAACAGAAAAAAGGGGAGATACAGTAAATCCTCGGGTTTTTATGCTCTCTCTGGCTCTGCATTTCTTGGGGCCCCGAAAGAGTATCCTGATTGGTTGTCAGACTCCCAGGGGGTGGGGGTCTTGCTGGCTGATGCAATCTTCCCAGGTGCCATGTGGTGAGCCTCGTCTAGATGGGTCCCATTGTGTTAGTTTCTGTTGCTATTGTGTTGCAAATGTCCTTTGACAAAGGATTGGGTTTCTGCCTCTGTCCCATTAACAAAGGGTGGGGGGCAGGAAGGTGGGAGCTGCTTCAAAACATGCTTATCCCAGGGAAATATAATATTCTGCCTTTTTCATATTTCCTAAAATATTTCACTCTTCCAGGAGAGGGGTGGGTGCTAACTTCCTACAGGACCTTGGAGGTCTTCTAGTCCAACCCTCTGCTCTCTTTCTCCTCCTCCATTCTCCTTTTTCTCCTCCTCAGAATAATAAAATTGGGCCTTGGAGGTCTTCTAGTCCAACCCTCTGCTCTCTTTCTCCTCCTCCATTCTCCTTTTTCTCCTCCTCAGAATAATAAGAGTTGGAAGGGACCTTGGAGGTCTTCTAGTCCAACCCTCTTGCTCTCCTTCTCCTCCTCAACAATAGGAGTTGGGACCTTGGAGGTCTTCCAGGCCACCAACCCCTTCCTCTCCTCCTCCATTCTCCTTCTCCTCAATAAGAGTTGGAAGGGACTTTCCAACTCCATTCTCCTTCGTTCTCCTTTTTCTCCTCCTCAATAATAAGAGTTTGAAGGGACCTTGGAGGTCTTCCAGTCCAACTCCTTGCTCTCTTTCTCCTCCTCCATTCTCCTCCTCCTCAGAATAATAAGAATTGGGCCTTGGAGGGCTTCTAATCCAGGGATCTGCAACTTTAAACACTCAAAAGAGCCATTTGGACCCGTTTCCCACAGAAAAGAAAACACCGGGAGCCACAAAAACCCTTCCCGTGCCTGACTATTTCTTGAGTGGCCACAAAACTAGCATATGTAGTTGAATTAAACGTTTTGTTTTCTTCTGAGACTTTTCTTGGATTTATCCATGGTTAATTTACTGGGGGTTGAAAAGCTCAATAAATCGCATGCTGGTGGGTGTCGCATATTGGCGGTTGTGATGCATATTTTGTGTGACGGGGAGCCGCAGCAGAGGGGTGAAAGTGCCAAATGCAGCTCCAGAGCCGCAGGTTGCTGATCCCTGTTCTATTCCAACCCCCTGCTCTCCTCCTCCATTCTCACGGGATAAACGGTTGTCCAATCTCTTAAAATCCTCCAGTGATGGAGCACCCACAACTTCTGGTGGCAAGCTGTTCCACTGGTTAATTGTTCTTACTGTCAGGAAATTCCTCTTTCGTTCTAGGTTGTTTCTCTCCTTGATTAGTTTCCATCCATTGCTTCTTGTCCTACTCTCAGATACTTTGGAGAAGAGGTTTTTGGAGATGTTGGTTTTGTACAAGAGGAGTAACTTGGATTTTGGGGCAAATCTTGATTGGATCTTTGAAATCTTTTGAGCTGGTGTGAGATTTGATCCAACCTTGCAACTTTAAGATAGGAGGACTTCAACATTCAGAATTTCCCAGGAAGCATGCTTTAGGAGGGGTGGCCTTCCAGGATTCTCCAGCCAGCATGGAAAATGTGAAATATTGTTTACTTACAGACGTTTATACAGGTAGTCCTTGACTTACAACAGTTCATTTAGTGACCGCTCAAAGTTACAATGGCACTGGAGTGATTTATGACCGATTTTCACATTTACGACCGTTGCAACATCCCCATGATCATGTGATCAAAATTCAGCTGCTTGGCAACTGGTTCATATTTATGACCAGTCGCAGTGTCCCCTTTTGCGAACTTCTGACAAGCAAACTCAATGGGGAAGCCTGTTCACTTAACAACCGGGTTACTAACTTATCAACTGCAGTGATTCACTTAACAACTGAGGCAAGAAAGATCATATAACATGGGGAAAATCGCATTTAACAATGTCTCACTTAAGGGCAGAAATTTTGGGCTCAATTGTGGTCATAAATTGAGGACTACCTTTATTAATTAACATGTCACCCTGATGGTCCCAAGCCACATAATTTTCATCATTAATGTATTTGGGTGATATCGTTCCTTTCTATTTCTTTTACAACTTGGGCATTAACTCTTAAAATCAGTTAAAAGACAGGGAATGCATTTGCACGATATATTATGCTTAGCTGATTTTTTAAGTAGGTTAGATATTTTGGGGGTGCTTAGCACATTCAAATTAATTTCAATACAGTGACTTTAGAAAATGGGGTGATTGATAACTAAAGTCAACTATTGTGTGAAGCTAGGGTAGTGAGAATGTGCTATTATAATAGAATTGTCTTATATAATATTTATATTTTTACTCATACTATTTATTCCAGGAAGATATGTTCTATCGCCTTTTGTTTTTCTGCCCAGAGCAGAGAAATAAGGAATTATTACATTAATATAATATAATATAATATAATATAATATAATATAATATAATATAATATAATATAATATAATATAATATAATATAATATAATATAATATATATTTCCAACCATAACAACTTTAAGTGGTGTGACCAGGGAATTCTGGGAGTTGAAGTTCACATTTCCTATACTGTAGTAGGGACACATTGAGTTGCATCATCGTGTATCCCGCTCTTCCGTCACTTCCGTCGCAAAACGGAAGTGTCTCCCACCTCTCCCTGTGGAAACAGGCGGATGGGTTGCGTGGGTAGAGTGTGTTAAATCCTAGAGTGGCCGACGCTTTCAAGCGCCCATAGAGAATGGCGGCCAAAATGGCGGCGGCCGGCTTGACGGGGCCTCCTCCTTCTTTCTTCCCCTTCTTTTATCCTCGGCCCGAAGTGGATAATTGTTAAACATGCAAATGAATAATGAGAAGCATCAACATAAGTAATGCTTAGAAGAAATAGAAATAATATAATAAAAACAACAGCCTAGAAGTAATAAAAATAAAGAGCAAAGTAGCGCAGGCCTCACTTCCGTTCCTTAGGCCTTCCGGTCCAACAGCTATATCAGTCCCCCCATCCACTTCCTGGGTGTGTCCGTGCGTTCTTCCATTTGCTCCGGGCCGTTGCGACGGTAACGTGAGGCCGAGTTGTGGAAGACGAAGCCGGGTTTGGGGTGCTAAATTTGGGGTGAGGGGGTTGGGCTGGCCTGAAAATAGACGTGTGTGTGTGTGTGAATAGAAATGGGTCCTCATTAATGGCGACCGTCGTAATCCCGTAATTTTTGCCGTAAAGCCGTGGGAGTCCCTTGACCGCTTTGCCTCAACCACAGCCCTGCAAGGTAGGACGGTCCCATATCCCCACCCTGGCTGTGGGGTTTTTTATTTAATTTTTATATGAATTTTCTCGTGCCCAAGAGCTGCAAGAGAGCGAAAGGGGGGGGGGGGCTTATCTGAGGGAACAAGAAATGAGGGGAAAAAAATTACGTTTATTTTTAACTTTAAAGGACGTGATAAATATGTTCCCAAGCTTGTGCCTGGTAAATTTGAGGCCTTAATAACTGTTAATATATTAACTGTTCTTAATATATTAAAGTATTTAATGCATTAACTTAATGCAGGAGCCTGGATAGCTCAGCAGACTAATGCATTGTAATTTAACTCCAGCTGTCTGCAATTAGTAAGTTCGAATCTTGCCAGGCTCAAGGTCTCCCAAAAATAGTACTAATGCCTAAAGTCTAATAAGAATAATGAAATATTTAATACTTTAATGCCTACAATCTCCTAATAATATTAATAAAGTATTAAATACTTTATTATTATTAGAAGACTTTAGTCATTAGTGTTATTTTTGGGAGAGCTGATGCATTTAATTCATTAACATTAAGTTAATGTAAAACTGCCTAAAGGCTCCCAACAATAGTACTAATGCCTAATAATAATAATAATAATAATAATAATAATAATAATAATAATAATACACACCTGATATAACAATAGTTGAAAAGAAAAAAGTATGGTTCATTGACATTGCAATACCTGGTGATGCATGAATTGAAGATAAGCAGCAAGAAAAAATCACAAAGTACCGGGACTTGCAAATTGAAGTTGAGCGACTGTGGAAAAAGAAATCGTGTGTTGTCCCGATTGTAATTGGAGCCCTTGGAGCAATACCCAAAGGGCTACCCCGTTATTTAGAAATTCTAAATTTGCCTGACTTGAACATTTTGACTCTACAAAAAACCACCTTACTCGGAACAGCTGACATCCTCCGACGATACCTTAACGGTTCCTAGGTCCTTGGTTAGGACTCGAGCTGCTGAGCTATTAACCAGCCTCAAAGGCTGTGAATCTCACTAAAGATTAAATAATAATAATAATAATAATAATAATAATAATAATAATAATAATAATAAAAAACTGCACTACTTGGAACATCATACATCTTAAGAAGGTACTTGGTTGATCCCTAGGACGCTGGCAGCAACCCGTATCAACTATTAGCACCAGTCAGTGGTATTTGTGATGCATTTCTGAGTGTTCAGTTGACTGAGTTTCGTATTTAATGAATAAAGATAATAATAATAATAATAAAAATAAAATAAAATAAAATAAAATAAATAAAATAATAAAAAAAACTGTGCTACTTGGAACATCGTGCATCTTAAGAAGGTACTTGGTTGATCCCTAGGACGCTGGCAGCAACCCGTATCAACCATTAGCACCAGTCAATGGTGTTTGTGATGCATTTCTGAATGTTCAGTTGACTGAGTTTCATATTTAATTAATAATGATAATGATGATAATAATAATAATAATCGCAACCTGGCCATCAAAACTATAGGGCTATGGATGAAACATGTAACAGTGATACCCATAGTCATCGGGGCACTTGGTACCATGTCCAAGAATTTTATAAAATACATCAGCAAATTGCAGCTTCCTGCAATAACACCAGCGGAATTGCAAAAAACTGCGCTACTTGGAACATCGTACATCTTAAGAAGGTACTTTGTTGACACCTAGGACGCTAGCAGCAACCCGTATCAACCATTAGCACCAGGGGTGGGTTCTACTTACCTTTATTACCAGTTCACAGCGGGCCCGTGCGCGCTCTTCTTTTGATGATGTCGGGGTCGGTGGGCGGAACCTCCCGCCGGTTTTACTACCGGTTCTATAGAACTGGTGCGAACCGGGGGCAACCCACCACTGATTAGCACCAGTCAATAGTATTTGTGATGCATTTTTGAATGTTCAGTTGACTGAGTTTCATGTTTAATGAATAAAGTAAATAATAATAATAATATTTAATACTTTACTATTATTGTAAGAAGCATGCATAAGCGCACCAATGTGCCTACCGTCCCTGTCCCACTACCCCCATTTATTCGTATCCATTTCATGTATTCATAATCATGTTTATACTTATATCTGTTATCTTACACATGCTTGATAAAATAAATAAATAAAAATAAATTATTAGGAGATTTTAGGCATTACTACTATTGTTGGGAGACTTCATGTATTTAATCCATTGACATGACAAGTTGATGTAAAATTGCCAATGCGGAAGTCAGATTCACTTAGCAACCATGTTACTGCAGTGATCCACTTAACGGTGACAAGAAAGGTCGTAAAATGGGGCAAAACTCACTTGTCTCACTTAGCAACAGAAATTTTGGGCTCAATTGTGGTTTTTAGTTGAGGACTACCTATATTAGTATTAATGCCATTATTTAGATATTGCTATTATTCAGAAAGTCGGTAGTACTGCTACAATTATTAGGACACTAGGCATTATTAGTATTATTGGGAGACTTTTGGCATTATTAGAAGACTTTAAACATTATTACCGTTAATATTATTGAGAAACCTTAGATGTTACTATTAGGAGTATAGCAGGGGTGGGTTCTAAATTTTTTTACTACCGGTTCTGTGGGCATGGCTTGATGGTCATGTGACTGGGGAATGGCTTGATGGTCATGTGACTGGGTAGGCGTGGTCAATTAAATGTCACGTCAAGGGGAGTCATAGTTTTTGACCACGCCCCTTGTTCCTTCCCCTCAGTTTTGACTCAGTCGGCCTGAGAGAAACATCTCTAGCAGATCTGGCTTTCAGCCATTGTCTGTTTGATTATCTCAGAGTCACTGTGAGTTTTTTGGACCAAACAATTATTTAGGATTTAGCAGAGGTACTGGTCTACCAGGCTTTTAACTGCTTGCACTGGTCTACTCATTTGTTTTTGGAGCGCATCGGTCTGCCACCACATTGCCTTTTACCGCTGATCAGCTGTAGGGCGGCCCTTTGAAGCGCCGCGGCAAGAGTTTCAACAGTTTATTGCCGCTCTGCCACCATCGAGAGCATCGGTAACCGTTTCAGGCAGCTTGGCCTCAATTGCCAATCTACCACCACCGAGCAGTTTACAAGGAGCGGATCGGTTCTAGACGATCAGTTGGGAGGCTTCTTGGCTTCTCAATTTAAAGCTACAGTGTCTTGTTTTTTTCCCTCTTCTTTGTCAAGTGAGCCCTGATTTTTTCCTTCTAGCCGATCAGCTGGGAGTCGGGAGGCAGCAAATAGATTGTGGGCGGGACCAGGCAGAGGTGGTATTTACCGGTTCTCTGAACTACTCAAAATTTCCACTACCGGTTCACAAGAACCGGGGAGAACCAGTAGCAACCCACCACTGGAGTATAGGCATTATTACTCTTATTATAGGGAGACTAAGCATTACTAGACTTTAGACATTATTACTATTATTACTGAGAAAGCTGGCAAAACTTACTACTACTATTAGGAAACTCAATATTATTACTATTGTTGGAAGACTTCAGGCATTTATTATTGTTGGAAAACCTTGGGCATTTTTATTAGTAGATTAGGGATTACTACCATATACTATATACGATAGCATATTGGGACACTAAACATTATTAGTACTATCGTTTGGATTATTTAGGCATTCTTACTATAATTAGGAGTCGTTATGCATTATTACTACCCTGTTTTCCCCAAAATAAGACATTTCCCTGATAATAAGCCCAATCGGGCTTTTGAGCGCATGGCAATAAGGCCAAGCGCTTATTTCAGGGTTCAAAAAAATATAAGACAGGGTCTTATTTTCGGGGAAACACGGTATTAAAAAATCTTAGGTATTTTACTATTATTATTAAACTCAAATACTAACGAGAAGGAAGGACTCACTGGAGAAGAGCCTAATGCTGGGAACGATGGAGGGCAAAAGGAGAAGAAGGGGACGGCAGAGAAGGAGGTGGCTGGATGGAGTCAAGGAAGCAGTCGGCATGAGCTTAAATGGACTCCGGAGGATGGTAGAGGACAGGAAGGCCTGGAGGAACGTGGTCCATGGGGTCGCGATGGGTCGGATACGACTTCGCAACAAACAACAACAAAATTAAAACTTTAGGAATTATCTATGTCTCCTAAAACTCTCGTGCCCGTTCACTTGAATGGCACCCATTTTTCTACAATATTACCAGCTTTCTGCCAATAGGTGTCTGTCTCCTTGAGATTTTGGAACTCTGGTTTTCATCAGTCCAGCCTGTAAATCTAGTTCCAAGGCTCTTTTTTCCCCTTTTCTTTCTAGAAATGGCTCCTCCTACATTTTCTGTAATTTACAGAACCTTGTGAGTTGCTCACCACTTTTGAACAACTTAAATCTCCTGCTCTTACCCCCCGAATTCCATACTGGGCCCAATTATAGATTGATCTTGGTGTGAATGCAACTTTTAAGATGATTTTGTCTCCAGCTGAAGCCTTCGAAATTATCTGTCCCCTTGGGAGTGTTCCCAAGGGAAGAGCAAATGGGGAAGGTGACTTCAGGATGCAACCTGGTTTAAAATAGGAGTGCGGAAACCCAGATTAAGCTGAATACAGGTAGTCCTCCACCTGCGACCAGAAATAGAATAGAATAGAATTTTTTATTGGCCAAGTGTGATTGGACACACAAGGAATTTGTCTTTGGTGCATATGCCAGAAATGAGCCCAACATTTCTGTTGCTAAGTGAGACATTTAAATGAGTTTTGCCCCGTTTTACCACCTTCCTTGCCACAGTTGTTAAGTGAATCACCGCAGTTGTTAAGTGAGTAACCCGGTTGTGAAGTGAATCTGGCTTCCCCACAGACTTTGCTTGTCAGAAGGTCATAAAAGGGGGTCATGTGACCCCCGAGACACTGGAACCGTCATAAATACGAGTCGGTTGCCAAACGTTTGATTTTTGATCATGGGGAACCCGGGGATGTTGCAACGGTTATAAGTCCCTTTTTTCGGTGCGGTTGTAACTTCGAACGGTGACTAAACGAGCTGTTGTAAATTGAGGATTATCTGTACAAGGGGCCGACTTAGACTCGTCTCCCAGCTGTGGCCTGAAATGCTTTGATCCCTTACTGGTTTGGTTTCCCCCCCCCCCCTCAGGTGCCTTGTCGAACCATGGCTAGCCAACATGATGAGACAGGAAAAGATGGGAGTTTTGCCAGCGAGGACCTGGCTGCCGAAGCCATGGCCGCAGACATGGACTCCTGGGTGGTCTTTGATGCCCGCAAGACCCCCAAGGCTGAATTTGAGGAATGGCTCCAGACCTACCAGCCGTCCCGCGTCTCTCGCTATGGCAACCCGGAGTGCAACACCGAGCCGGTGGGCTGGATTGCCGTCTACGGCCCCAGCTTCTGTCCAGAATCTGGCGACGTCGTAGGACTTCAGGAGGATTGGGAACGTTTACAGCTTAGCGGGCGCCACGTGACTTTTGAGTCCATCAAGGAGCTGGCCCTTAACCGCCGTGTCCTGACCGGCAAGTGGCTGATGCACCTGGACAGCGGCTTCAAAGTGGACCACGCTTGGTGCGGCATCGCCCGGGCAGTCCTCGAAGGGCGTGTCGGGGTGGCCAAAGTGAGCCCCTGCTGCCCCGACTCGGACCGCAAACATGTGATCTGCGTGTACACCGACGACTTCACCAACGAAGAGGAAGTGCTGGTGGCCGATTCCGTCATCCGGGCTACGGGGATCAAGTGCCTCTTATCCTACAAGCCCGATGCTTACACCTACCTGGGCATCTACCGCGACAATCGCTGGCACCTGTGCCCCACCATTTACGAAAGCCGGTTCGATTTGGAATGCATCCCCCGTCGCTCACGTATCCTTAACAAGGTGAGCAACAGCGAAGTGACTTAAACCGCCTCCCCTCCGTTCCTGAAGGCGCGAGACTCGCAGAGGAAACCGCACCAAGGCTGGGGACTACAAATCCCATCGTGCAGTGTTGACTCTCTTTTACTCAGAGGAGGTAGATTTGCCCAAGGCAGGCAGGCTGCGTCGATGAGATTTCTGCCTCTGTCACGGGGCGCTTCGTTCTGTCTGAACCCGTTTTTTTTTTTTTGGTGACATGGGTGGACATCCGCATTTCTCATAAAAACTGCTAAAAACTGCGTGCTGCACAACCTTGTGTGAACTGATCGGCTTTTTTTTTATTGCAAAAAAAAGAACAAATAATCCCTACTCATCTTTTTCGGCAGACCAACAGTAGAAAGATTTGATTTGCTGCCCATCTAGGGAGGTTGGGATGACGGGAGAGATAATCAGAATCCGAAGGGAAGCATCAAAGAAGGAAAAGGGGAAAAATAAGTTTTGATGGGAGGCGTGAAATGGAAACGCCGGGCAAAGAGGTAGGCTAATTTTTCTTTCCGGTCTTTTGCTCAGAAGTGGTTGAATTTTATTTTATTTTTTTGTGGTTCTTGGCTGCATTCGCCTGTAAACTAGACTGAAAATAAATGGCATTCTCGACTCGTCCCCACCCTCCCCCTTTTTCTGAAGGTTTTGCTTTTTTTTGGAGTTTTATAGATGAACCCAAGTTCGAAAAAGCACCTTGGAGGGTGAAACAGAGGTTGCAAAAGGTTTGGGGGAAGTTCTGAATTCCTTGGCGTCAGAAAGTGCTCTTTGACTGTTTCAGGAGCAGAGAGAACAAAGGGGGCCCTGATGTTTTGCATGGAGGGAACATAAAGCTTTCTTGAATTATAAGCTTTTAATGGGCGGAAGAGGGTAAAAACTAAACGTTGAAGTGGAAATTTGGGCTATTTGTCTATCGCATCTCTGCTATATTAATCAGGTAGCTCTAGAGCAGGGTTTTTTGCAAGCATGGCAATTTTTAAGATGGGTGGACTTCAGCTCCCAGAATCCCCCAGTCAGCATGCTTTAAAATGGGTGGCTTTTAACTCCCAGAATCCCCCAGCCAGCATGCTTTAAAAGGGGTGGACTTCAGCTCCCAGAATCCCCCAGCCAGCATGCTTTAAGAGGGGTGGACTTCAACTCCCAGAATCCCCCAGCCACAGCATGTTTTAAGATGGGTGGACTTCAACTCCCATAATCCTCCAGCCAGCATGCTTTAAAAGGGATGGACTTCCACTCCCAGAATCCCCCAGCCAGCCTGCTTTAAGAGGGGTGGGCTTCAACTCCCAGAATTCCTCAACCAATCAGCCAGCTTCTGTGAGTTGAAGGCCAAGCATATTGGTGGAGGAAATCTTTCTTGCCACAATTGTTAAGTGAATTGCTGCAGTTGTAACAGTTAAGTGACACTGGATTCCCATGTGATCACATGATCCCTGCACCCTGCAACCATCATCAATACAGGCCAGTTGCTGTTGTCTAAATTTTGATCACATGACCATGGGGGAATGATGTAATGGTCATAAGTGTGGAAAAACAGTCATAAGTCACTTTCCCCCCCCTCTTCTTGTAATTCTGAACTGTCACAAGTCGAGAAGTACCTGTAAAACTTTGGGGAAACCCACTCAGCCGAAACACACACCTTACTACGTAGCAATGCTGAGGCTTTAGTTTATTAGAAGAACCTGCTACAGTGAGAAGACAAAAATAAGTACGGTCCATTTACATTAGAAGCAAAGAAACGCATTGAAAAAGTAACAGCAGGTTAACTACGTTTTAAACATCCATTCCCCCCCCCTTTTTTTAATAAAAAAAATGTTGCACAGTACAAAAAAGAAGTGAAGGCAGCAAGGTTGCGACAACAGCTCCCTTTCTCTGCACCCTGGCAGGGCTGACACGTGGGACTCCCCATCGCAATCCCACAACTGTTGTTACTCTCCATCCGGCCTCTAAACTGACTTTTAACTTTCCCACTCTCTCCTAATCGGGTTTTCTCTCAAGCCAGAAAGCAGAAGGCAAGCAGGAAAAAACAAAGCTGCTTAAATCCCTTTTTTGGGATGTCAGTTGCATTCACGCACGACGCCCAGATACCGCTTCCGATTTATTTTTCTCGTGGCTTCGGGCGTTGCGTTTAAGCCAACCAGCGTGGTTAATAGATGCATCATTAGGTGAATCTTGCTTTCCTTCTACAAAGCCAGATTCCCCCCCTCCTTAAATCAAAATTCAGTGCATTGTTACGCGAATGAAGTCCCTTTTTAATTTTTTCTTAACTGTGCCTGAGCCAGCTGAAAAAAAAACCTGAAGATTTGGCTTAACTTGTGTGTCCTTTCCCTGTCTGGTTTAGTTTTGTGGCTGACCTAAAGAACACACAAACACACAGTACACAAGCTGCAGAGCCCCCCAAAACAGCCATTTTTCTGGTGGAACCGATTTCATGCCTTTTTTTTTTTTTTTAAATCATTAATTTAATGGGTTTTTAAAAAAAAAACATCATATCCCACTTTTGGGGGGGAAAGATTCCAGCATTTAAACCTGGCAAGTCAGAAAAGCTGCGACAGCATTTTATAAGGCACAAAAAACGAGTCTTTATACAAAAAAGGCACCCTTGATAAAAAGTTTTGGTGCCTTTAACGTTTAAAAAACATTAACGGGCATTTCTTCAGTCCTTTACGGGTAATCCTCGAGTTACGACCGCAATGGAGAACAAAACTTCTGGGGTTAAGTGAAATGTGTCCCATTTTACAGCCTCTCTTGCCACAGTTTGTTAAGTCAATCTGGCCCTGCCATTGACAGTAACGAGTCGGAAGGGACCTTGGAGGACATCTAGTCCAACCCCCTGCTCCACGCAGGAGACCTGTCCTAGGGATTCGAACCGCCGGCCTTTCTGATCGACAAGCTCGGTGTCATAGCCACAGAGTCAGACGGTCGCAAAAGGGGATCACACGACCCTGGGGGCAGTGCGACCGTCGTAAATACGAGTCGGGTTGCCAAGCGTCTGAATTTTTTGGGTCATGCGGCCCTCGGGGATTGCCACAACGGTGTGGAAAAACGATCCTAAGTCACATTTTTCAGTGCCGTTGTCACTTCGGACGATCACTAAACAAACTGTCGTAAGTCGAGGACTACCTGTAAGATGATAAACCGCCTTGTGAAAGGCAACGGAATCCTGCAATTCTTTTTTTTTTTTTAAAGTGGGACAACTTGGGCCAGCTTAGTAGGAAAAAAGGCAAGTTTTGGCGACAACAATTTTGTTTTCAAACTTAACAGTATTTAAAAATGTCTTGGAACTCTGGGAAATTTGAGGTGTTTTTTTTTTTTATAAAAAAAGCCCCGAGAACTGCATTTTGATAGCGAAGTCGGAAGAACGTCTGCTAAATTGGAACGCAAAAAAACCACACAAAGGCACGTCACGCTCCCCCTCCTACGTTCGTACTGTCCGCTCCCTGAAGAGGCAGAACACATGGGGCGGTTTTTTGGGCGGGTGGATGGGTGGGGGCCACAGAACGTCCCCTCCAATTTTGCAGAGGCCAAGCCCACCCCTAACCCTGTTTTGAAGGCTGCCCCCTCCCCACCACGTTTCCCCAAATATAGCTGGAAGCACCCGTAGCTTGAAGAGCGAGCTGTGAGTTCTCGGATCAACGGACCGCTGGGAATCCTTACGAGTTGAGAAGCGAGTTCAAATCCAGGTCGACCATGGACGAAAAGCTGTCCTCGGCGGGAAGGGTCCCCAAAAGGCCGTTGAGGAAGCTGTTGTTGGTCGAATGGGCGCCCCCTCCACCGTCCCCGGGCTCTCCTCCCGCCCTCCGCTGGCTGACCAAGCGAGTGATAGATTCCGGGTAGGTCATCAGAGTCCCCTGGGTATCCGGCAGCGGCGCAGGGCCGGCCCCTTCGTTGAGTAGCTGCCGGAACTCGGTGGTGTTGATGCTATCCAGGCTGCTGTAGGGGGCGTCGTCCAAAAGGCCCCCCAAGGGATCCCCTTCGAAGTGGAGGTGCAGGAAGGCGTCGGCGATGCTGGTTTCGGTGTCCATGGAGGAAGGCGGGGCCTGTGAGGAGACGCCCAAGCACGACAGATCCTCCATGTTGACGGTGCTGAAGCTGGAGGCGGCGGCCATGGGAGGCGGCGGCGGGGTAGGGTGGCTGGGCCCGACGAAGTAGCCGGCGGGAGGCTGAGTCATGACTTGCGGCTTCTGAATTGGGCGCATAGGCGAGTGGCTGGATGCTCCCAGAAACCCTGGCACGGCTGCAAGGAGAAGCAAGTAAAGGTAAAGGTTCCCCTCGCGCATACCTGCTAGTGGTTCCCGACTCGAGGTGGCGGTGCTCATCTCCGTTTCAAAGCCGAAGAGCCAGCGCTGTCCGAAGACGTCTCCGTGGTCATGTGGCCGGCATGACTCAACCCCAAAGGCGCACGGAAAACGCTGTTCCCTTCCCACCAAAGGTGGTCCCTATTTTTCTACTTGCATTTTTTTTACCTGCTTTCAAACTGCTAGGTTGGCAGAAGCTGGGACAAGTCACGGGAGCTCACCCCGTTACGCAGCACAAGGGATTCGAACCGCCGAACTGCCGACCTTTCGATCGACAAGCTCAGTGTCTTAGCCACTGAGCCACCGTGTTAGGAGAAGCAAAGCGTGGCTTAATAAAGAAATGGGGCCATGGCCAAAGCGAACGAGAAGCCAAAAGAGGCTTTCTCCAAAATTTGTGACTGGTTAAGAGTTTCAGGTCCTACATGAGTGATGGCTGAACGTTCCTCAGTGTGCCTAAATCAGAGAAAAGAACCAGTCTGGGAAACGAGGAGGCCCGTTTGTGTCTTTCTTCCCCCAGCAGGAAAAGAGAACTGGGGAAGAGAAAGAGAGAGAAAAAAAGAAAGAGAATACAGAATAACGAAGTTGGAAGGGACCTTGGAGGTCTTCTAGCCCAACCCCCTGCTCAAACAAGAGACCCTATACCAGTGATGGTAACCTTTTTGCCATCGAGTGCCAAAAGCGGGGGGAGCATGGGGAGTGGGAATGTTGCATGCATACCCACACCCATAATTCTATGCTCCCCACCTTTGCGCATGCGCGCGCCAACCCCCCGCAGTCTCCCCACTTTTGGCATGTGATGGCACGGTGGGCCCGTTTTTCACCCTCCTCAGGCTCCAGAGCCTTTCTAGGCGCCTGGGGAGGGCGAAAACGGCCTTCCCCACCCCTCAGAGGCTCTCTGGAGGCCGGAAACGGCCCGTTTGCCGACTTCCGGAAGGCCTGTTTTTTGCTCTCCCCCAGCTCCAAAGCTTTTCTATGAACCTAGGGAGGGCGAAAACAGTCTTCCCCACCCACCTGGAAGCTCCCTGGAGGCCAGAAACAGCCTGTTTGCTGACTTCCGGTAGGACCGGAAGGCCTGTTTTTTCACTCCCCCCAGGCTCCACAGCCTTTCTAGGAGTCTGAGGAGGGCAAAAACGGCCTTCCCCACACACCCCTGGAGGCCGGAAACGGCCCATTTCCTGACTTCCGGTGGGCCTGGAAGGGCCGTTTCCGGCCTCCAGAGGGCCTCCGGTGTGTGTGTGTCGGGAAGGCCGTTTTTTCCCCTCCCCAGGCTCCTAGAAAGGCTCTGGAGCCTGGAGAGAGTGAAAAACAGGCCTTCCCCACCATTCTCCAGGCCCTCCGGAGGCCGGAAACAGCCTGTTTCCCTACTTCCGGTGGGCCCAAAAACCAGATAGCTGCCGCGCGCATTAGTGCAAGGAGCTAAGCTCGCACGCTCACCGATATGGCTCCGCGTTCGCCATCACAGCCCTATAGCATTTTGGAGAAATGGCTGTCCAAATCTCGTCTTAAAAACCTCCAGCGATGGAGCATTTACAACTTCTGGAGGCAAGCTGATTCATTGTTCTCACTGCAAAAAGGGAGTGATGTTTGCTGCTTCTTGCACTAATATATAAATTTTCTAAATAAATTAAAAATAAATAATGCTGTAAAGCTAATCGGGTCATAAACCACCAAGCTCAGAGAGCACCAAGGACCCCACAGTTCAACCCCCGAGATACGAATATTCTCTTTGTACAGTCGCATTACTTCAGCCAAAATGCAGGCTTTTAGAAAAGGCTTCCAAATCCTTCCGGCCATCTCTCTAGGCAGCGTCTGAAAATATCTGGGAACAAGGACGGACTTACCGCTGGTGTTAAGCCGGGGCGCTCCGTGTTTCGGAACGGCAATGCGGCGTGGAGATTGGGCTTCTGTGGTTCCTACTGTTGAGGAAGATAAAACAACAGGTAACCATGAATGCGAGCTTCAGAAATGCCCACACTTTTTAAAAAGACTGTTATTTCTGAGCCCACGGATGGCTGTGAAAGTTGGACCACAAGGCTGAGAAGGCCAAAGAATGGAGGCCTTTGAACTCTGGGGCTGGAGAAGACTCCTGCGAGTCCCTTGGACTGCGAGGCCATCCAACCGGTCGGTCCTAGAGGAGGTCAACCCCGGCTGCTCTCTAGAAGGCCAGATCCTGAAGAGGAAACTCAAATCCTTTGGCCACCTGATGAGAAGGAAGGACTCCCTGGAGAAGAGCCTAATGCTGGGAACGATGGAGGGCAAAAGAAGAAGAAGGGGACGGCAGAGACCGAGGTGGCTGGATGGAGTCACTGAAGCAGTCGGCCTGAAATTAAATGGACTCCGGAGGATGGTAGAGGACAGGAAGGCCTGGAGGAACGTTGTCCATGGGGTTGTGATAGGTCGGATACGACTTCGCAACTAACGACAACAACATTTTAAAGAGCAATTCTGGTTGTTTTGAAGAAAAATGGAGAACTGTTTGTTTTAAAATCACTCTTCCTTTGAATAGAAAAGAAATAACATAACATTAACATTAACTATAGAATTGGAAGGGATCTTGAAGATCTTTTAGTCCAAGGGTCTGCAACCTTAAACACTCAGAGAGCCATTTGGACCCGTTTCCCACAGAAAAGAAAACACCGGGAGCCACAAAAACCCTTCCCGTGCCTGACTATTTCTTGAGCGGCCACAAAACTAACATATGTAGTTGAATTAAATGTTCTGTTTTCTTCTGAAGCTTTTCTTTTCTTGGATTTATCCATGGTTGGCCTACCGGGGGTCAAAAAGCTCAATAAATCACGTGCCGGTGGGTGTCGCACATTGGCAGTTGTGACGTATATTTTGAGTGACAGGGAGCAGCAGCAGAGGGATGAAAGAGCCACATGCGGCTGCAGGTTGCTGACCCCTGTTCTAGACTTTTGATTTGTTTTGGGCTGAAAAGTGCAAACATCTGGAATTCTTCAAAGCTTTTTTCTTGTTTCCTTTTAGTTCTGTTTCTAAGCCAGCTTTGGCAACTCTAAGATTCATGGACTTCAATTCCCAGAATTCCCTAGCCAGCACCAGCATTTCCCCCCCCCCCTTCCCAGATGATTGGCCCTAAAGCACTCGGCTGGCTGGGGAATTCTGGGAGTTGAAGTCCACAAGTCTTAGTGGCCAAGATTGGACACCGTTGTTCCAAATCTTTTATTTTAACCGAATAACAGCCTTTTGACCACATAAGTCCTGAAACAATGAAGGTCATCGCCTCTCCTCACAGTCCCAATCCATCTTAATGGGACTTTGTTTGTCTGACCAGGCCTGAGTTGATGGGAATTGTAGTCCAAAGCCCCTGAAGGATGCCCTGTTCAGCTGCCCGGCCCCAACTAAATCATTCCCCCACCCCCCATTTCCTAGGTTAGGCTTTTTCAAATGGGGCTGCCTCCCCCGCCCCCCTCTTTCCTGGCTGTTTCTTTAAACTTTGCCACTATTTTACCTGCAAAAGGTGTTTTCTGTACAAAGTTCTTAAAAGTGCCCAGGGTCCGTTTGCGCTTCTCCTCGATTCGATGGAAATCGCCTGCCCAAGAGAGGAAGGGGAGGGGGAAAAAGTCAATTTAGATAAATAGGATAAATAATGCTTTTTTAAAATTTATGCCTTTATTATTTTGATAACTGACTAAAAACACCTAATATTCCTTCCTCTTCCTTTTCTCCTCACAACAACAACCTTGTGAGGTGGGTCGGACTCAGACTGACTGGCCCAAGGTCACCCAGCTGGCTTTCATGCCAAAGATGGGACTAGAATTCACCGTCTCCTGGTGATTGGCCCCAAACCACTCAGCTGGCTTTCAGACCTAAGGAAGAACTAAAACTCCCAGTCTCCTGGTGAATGGCCCAAAGTCACCCAGCTGTCTTTCGTGCCTAAGGCGGGACTAGAACTCACTGTCTCCTGGTTTTCGGCCCAAACTCATCAAACTGGCTGTCATGGGTAAGGTGGGACTAGAACTCCCAGGCTCCTGGTGATTGGCCCAGTCACCCAGCTGTCTTTCGTGCCTAAGGCGGGACTAGAACTCCCAGTCTCCTGGTGATTGGCTCAAAGTCATCAAACTGGCTGTCATGGGTAAGGTGGGACTAGAACTCACCGTCTCCTGGTGATTGCCCCCAAGTCATCAAACTGGCTGTCATGGGTAAGGCGGGACTAGAATTTACTATCTCCTGGAGATTGGCCCAAAGGGACAGAGCTACCTTTCATGCCTAAAATGGAACTAGAATTCCCAGCCTCTGGTTTCTAACCTGGTGCCATAATTACTAGACCAAACTTATTTTTGTGGATAGACAAGATTTCACTTAATTATCCTGCATTCGGTGGACACTCAAAGGATCAGCAGCTGCAACCATATCTAGTAGTGGCCAAAATGGTGGAAACCTTTTGGGAAAAGTGTATTTTTGAGGTTTGATGGATAATAACACCACTTTTTTTTCCCTGGAATTTCAACATAATCCTATTCCACTGCTGGAATGGAAATGCCTGGGAATAGCCCAGACCTTCACCCAATGGAAAATCTATGGAGCCGACTCAAGAAACTTGTTAGTCAGAAGCGACCCAGCAATAAAACCCAGTTAACAGAAGCCATCATTCAATCTTGGTTTCACATTAGAACAGCTGCAGAACTCAAAGACTTGGTTCACTCCATGGGAAGACGTTGTAAGGTCGTCATTCATGCTGAAGGTTACCCAACAAAGTATTAACTGACATGGGGATCATTTTTGTCGATCTCGTTTTTTTCTATGTGTTTCACTTTTCTTCTTTATACTGTAACTGCTATTCTAATAGCAAATCCTTCCTATAAGTGATTGCATTACATTCTTGGTTAAATTATCTTTCCATTGATATATAATTTTATGGTACTACGCCAAAAAAAAAGTAGTGTTATTAAGCTAGTTTTAGAAAATACACTTTTCCCAAAAGGTTTCCACAATTTTGGCCACTACTGTATGCTTACCAGTAAGCCAAAATATAACCCTGAATGGATTGTGCCTGATTTACGCCCTTCTCCTGTGACACAGCTGTAATCTTTCCCCCCCCATTGCTGGCAACCGACTTAAAGATTGAGATTTTCCCCCTGATTTCCCCGACAATTAAAACATTTTAACGAACGGATACCTTCATCCGGGAGATAACGGAACTCCATGGAGCCACTGACTTCTTTGTCGGAAGGCCGGTGCAGCTGCATCTGGACCGTCACGGGTTCGCGGATAGTCTGATCCGCATAAGGCGGCGTCTTGAAGACTATGGCCACCTGGCGGTGGACGTCGGCCTGCGAGAAGGACCCTTTCGCTTCCCAGGAATCCTTGAAAAAGCGGACTTCGATGTCCTCTGGAAAAAGAAAGCAGAGACGTGGAGAAGCCATCAAGGGAAAGGGGGTTCCTTTCCGCGAACTGACATAACGCTTACAAAACATGTTTGCTTGGGTGTCGGAGTAGGAAAACGCACAATAAATAAATAAAACCAACATTCCACTAGTCCCAAAGGTGCTTTTTTTCCAAAGGCACCTGGACTTTGTTTTTCCTGGAAGACTTTTCGCTTCTCATCCAAGAAGCTTCTTCGGTTCTGACTGAACGGCGGAGGATGGAAAGATTTATATTCCTTGCAGTCATCTGGTCGTTAGTACTCTCTCTGAGGATCGCGGAGGCCACTTGGGAGGTTTATCTGTGCTCTCAGGGTCGCCCGAATAGTGCAAATGGGTGTGGGAACCTTCTTCGAACTGCTGAAAAGCATTTTAGTGTGTTTCAGTCTGTTTACAACATGGTCCTTTCAGCAGTTCCAAGAAGGCTCCACATCCATTTGCACTATTCGGGTGATCTTGAGGGCACAGATAAACCTCCAAGCGGCCTCAATGACTCTCTAAAAGGATGCAAATGACCAGCTGTCTGCATAAATCGAGACATTTCGCTTCTCATCCAAGAAGCTTCTTCAGTTCCGACTGTATGGTAGAGGATGGAAAGATTTATATTCCTTGCAGTCCTCTGGTCGTTTGCTCTCTCTCTGAGAGTCGTCGAGGCTACTTGGAGGTTTATCTGTGTTTTTCTGTATTTACGGTCATCTGAATAGCGCAAATGGGCCTGGAACCTTGGAACTGCTGAAAGGAGTGCATTTACACCCATTTGCACTATTCAGGTGACCCCGAGGGCACAGATAAACTTCCAAGTGGCCTCAATGACTCCCAGAGAGAGTACTAACAACCAGAGGACTGCAAGGAATATAAACCCTTTCGTCCTTCACCAGTGTTGTGGTCTGCCAGCAGCCTGTGGACCTGGCAGCAGAGTCGGACAATAAGGCTGGGGAGGACAATGGTAATCACTACTTGGGCCTTGGGTACAACAACCATTCAATCAGAACCGAAGAAGCTTCTTGGACGAGAAGCGAAACGTCTTCCAGGAAAAACAAAGTCCAACTTGCCTTTGGAAAAAGCACCTTTGGGACAACTGTGATCTGGATGCCGGAGACTCTCCATAGGATCTGGAAAACTTTTAAAAAATTCTCGGGGGGTATTTGGAAAAAGCCCTACCTTTCTGCACTTTGTCACAGAGAAGGAAGATTTCGTCTCCCCCTAGGCAAGTCCCCGAATTACGGTTGACGCGGCAGATTTTCAGCTCGGCTGTATTGGGCGCACCTACAGAAAGGTTTAAAAAAAACAACAACAATAAAAAACCTCAGGACTGGTCACTCTCGACTTACGACCGTTCGTCCGGCGACTGTTCGAAGTGACGACAGCACTGAAAAAAGTGAATTATGCCTGGTCCACATACTTATGACTCACTATTGGATGTCAACTCACAGAGCATCCTGGCCTGCTCTCGAGTTGTCATAGGCCAGAGGGGGATGGGAAACCAGTGAAACAGCAGCCAAAAACAGATGCACATTCCATGCTTATCTCCCTCAAGGCTGTATCCCAGGGTTACCTACAGCAGCCGGAGGGGAGTGACCTCTACAACCTGCGAATTGCTCCATTGGCGAATGTGACTGATGACACACCATGTGGGCAGGGGGGGAAACAGGATCATAATGGGGTGTAAATTATGTAGGGTCAGAGCTGGCTTCACTTGGGAACCTGCCGACATGACGCTCCTAATAAATAACTGGATTTCTTTTGAAGCTTGGCTCGAGGTCATGATTTAATTAGGGCATCGGTTGGAACCCTGACAGTATAACTCAATCTATCCCTCTAAACCAGGGGTGTCAAACTGGGGGTGGGTGGGCGTGGCATAGCAGAGGGCATGGCCAGGGTGAGCGTGGCCAGCTCAACATCACTCGTGTCAGGGGGCACCTGTGGTGGCCAAGTACTAAGGCAGGACTTCCCTCAGACCTTCCCTCCCTCTCATTATAATTTTTCTTCCTTCCTTCCTTCCTTCCTTCCTTCCTTCCTTCCTTCCTTCCTTCCTTCCATCCATCCATCCATCCATCCATCCATCCATCCATGGGTGGAAACTAATCAAGGAGAGAAGCAACTTAGAACTAAGGAGAAATTTCCTGCCAGTGAGAACAGTTAATCAGTGGAACAATTTGCCTCCAGAAGTTGTAAATGCTCCAACACTGGAAGTTTTAAAGGAGAGATTGGATAACCATTTGTCTGAAGTGGTGTAGGGTTTCCTGCCTAAGCAGGGGGTTGGACTAGAAGACCTCCAAAGGTCCCTTCCAACTCTGTTTTTCTATGATTCCTTCCTTTCTTCCCCTCTTTTTCCTTCCTTCTTAATTCTTTCTTCTTCCTTTCTCTCTTTCCTTCTTTTTCCTTCCTCGATTCTCTTCCCACCTTCCCTTCTTTTTCTTTGTCTTTCCTCTTTCCCCTTCTCCTTTCCTATCCCTTCTTGCATGTTCAAACGCAAAAGGGAAAACATTTCTCCTTTTCGTTTTGTTTTCAGTTTGTTTTGCTAGTCCTTTGCTTGCCCTGCCAAGCTCCATTTCTGCTGGCAGAGGCACCGTAGGGCCGGTCCTTCGCTGTTTCCCGGGCAGCCCTGTGGGCTGGATCTAAACACTGGATCCGGCCCGCGGGCCTCGAGTTTAACACCCGCGCTCTAAACCAAAGGGTTCTGCCCATCACTCACGATTGTCGTAGATCGGTTGGGAGACCACCAGGGGCAGCTGAATCAAATGCCCCGTGCTCGTATCTCGAATCCAGACCTGGAAACAGAGTCGAACTGCATTCAGGTCGTAATCGCCTTTTAGTTCATCCATCGGCACTGAGGGAGAGGAAAGCGAAAAAGAAACGAAAACGTCAGGAGGTTCTGAAGACCATTAAAGAATTAAAGCTACCAGATACCTGGAACTTATTATCATATGTGGTGGAGGTGTGACAAAAAATAAAGACATGGTTGGAAAAGATGATAAAACAACGTATTGAGTTAAAACCCGAAATATTTCTGCTGGGGATCTTACCTGAAACTTATAATAAAGAGAATGCATATTTACCGTATTTTTCGGAGTATAAGATGCACCTTTTCCCCCCTGAAAGGAGGTAAAAATTTAGGTGCATCTTACATTGAAAAATTTAAGATGCACCTAAATTAAATAAAGCCCCTCCCACCCACTGGCCCCCACCCTTTGGCTTCTGCCTCCCAGCAATTTACCTCCTTGCAGCAAGCAGCAAGAAGAAACAGCCCGTTTCAGCTTCAGCACAGCCTAATTAGCACAAGCTGATTTGTCTGTTTTGTGCAGGCCTCTACTGCTTGCTGCAAGGAGGTAAATTGCTGGGAGCAGATTTTTTTTTCCTTGTGATAATCAAGCTATGCTGAAAACGAAAATGAAAGTAAAGCAGGCTGTTTGCTGCAATGAGGCAAAATTGCTGGGAGGCAGAGGCAGATTTCTTTTTCTTGTTTTCCTCACCAAAAAAGGTAGGTCCGGAGCACGTTATACTCCAAAAAATACGGTAATCATTCATGCATTAACCGCAGCTAGAATTGTATTTGCACAACATTGGAAAAATGAAGAGATTCCCATTGACGAGGTGGTGATTAGGAAAATATTAGAATGTGCAGAAATGAATAGATTAACACCAGCAATTAAGGAGAAAGAACAAACTGACTATGATATGATATGGGAAGTATTTTGTCACTGGTTAGAGAATAGAAAAGGAACTTGGAAACAAAGACGACTAAAGAAAAATAGAAAATATATTAAGATAGAGGTATAAATAAGATGACAATTGTCAGTATACGTATGATGAGAATAACTGTGTTCGATGTTTAGTCTTATAATGTTTTAACTGTTTAATGTATTGTGAATTTTAAGTTTCGGGAAGCAATGTTAATGTGAAGGATGTTGCAAATGTTGAAGGTTGTTGCACAGCGATAGCTGTAACCCAGGCGACACACCAGCCAGTCTTTGCAACTACCGGTTCAGCGAACCAGATGTAAAATTAGCATCCGGCTGAATTCCACTCCTGCCACATAGCCACGCAAACACATGACTCAGCCTTCCTTACCGCTGAACGGATTGTTCCCGGTCTCGATCCGTTTGGCCACAGCCTTTTCCAGATCCCGTTTCCGCACACACTGGATTCCCAGGTTTTGGAAGCTGGGGGACAAAGGCAGGCGTGAGTGTCCTACTCGGGGAAGGAAAAGAGGCCAACAGGCGATGCCCTTGCGGTTTCTACCTCCCAATTCCTGCTCCTTGCCCAGGTGTCTAGAGAAAAGAGGCACAAAAGCTCCAGGGACTCACCTGTGAATGGAGCGCTCCGGAGATAACTCGGCTTCGTAGTAGCCTTCTTTGCAATCCTTGCCCACCAGGTCGTGGGGGTGAGGCCGATGGGGGGCTTCCTTGGTCACCAGGGAGATACGGACCTTCCCTGGACCCTGATAGTTGTGAATCTGGGGGCAAAAGAGGGAAAGCGTTGGATTCAGGCCAGCCAAACGTATCTTCAGACTTGGATCTCCTCTTCGGGGAAGGAAAGGTTTTGATTTCATGGGGGGCGCATTCGCAAAATGGCTGCCCATCAGAGCGAGCGTGTCCGGGTGTAACCTTCCCACCCAGCTAGATGGCAGGGAGGCTGCCCAGGAATCCCCCGTCTTCGCGGCGAACATGCTGTGACATGGGGGCGGGCTTCAAATATTTTAGCAAGGATTTCTCTGGTGGGCGTGGCCATGGTGGGCGTGGTCTAGTCGACCATGGTGGGGGAGAGCTTTTTGCCCTCCCCAGGCTCCGGAGGCTTTTCTCAAGCTTTCGGGAGGGTGAAAACTGCCTCCCCAGGCACCGGAGGCCCTCTGGAGGCCAGAAATGGTCCCGTTTCAGCTTTCCCGAACTTCCGGTAGGCCTGTCTTTCGCCCTCCCGAGCCTGCGTGGGGACTCCGGGGAGGGGCAGGGTGGGCGGGGTCAGCCAGGAGTGGGATTTGGGGGTTCTCCGAACTGTACAGAATCTTAGCTAGAGGTTCTCCCGAACCCCTGTGAACCCCCATCAGCCCTCCCCTGGCTGTGACATCACACCAACTTTTCATTTGGCCAGGAGGATGGCATGAGAAGGGACCGGGGATTTTAAAAGCAACCCGGTGCAAAGGCTTCTGGGAAATGGGGGGTCTTTCTGGGCAGGTGAGGAAGAGGAGCAAGGAAAGGCTGACCTTGATGGTGGGGTGCGTCTTGGTGGTATCGGTGCTGCGTTCTCCCGGGATGGAGCCGGCCAAGCGGCCCTCGCACTGGTAACGGAAGCGCATCCCGCGTTGCTTCGGCTGCTCGATTATTTCCACCATGGGGTTGCTGCTGGGAGTGGGTTCTTGAGGGAGGGAAGAAGGAAAGAAAGGAGGATAGGAAAAGAGAAGGAAGAAGGAAAGAGAGCACAGGAGAGAAGGAAGGGAGGAAAAGAGACAGAGGTGTAAAAGGGAAGGAGAGAGGGAGAAAAGAAGAAGGCAGAGAAAGGAAGGAAAAGAGAAAGAATTGAGAAAGCAGGGGGAAAGGGAGGGAGAAGGGGGGAAAGAAGGTAAGAGAAAGAAGCAAGGAAAAGAGAAAGAAAGGAAAAGAGAAAGAAAGAAGGAAAGGAAAAGGAAAAGAAGATAGGAAAAGAGAAAGAAGCAAGAAAAAGGAAAGGAAGGAGAAGAAGGATGCAAAGAAAGAATGAGAAGGAAAGAAGGAAGGAAAAGAAAGAAGGATGCAAAGAAAGTGAGAAGGAAGGAAGGAAGAAGAAAGGATGCAAAGAAAGAAGGAAAAGGAAGGAAGGAAAAGAAAGAAGGATGCAAAGAAAGTGAGAAGGAAGGAAGGAAAAGAAAGAGGATGCAAAGAAAGAATGAGAAGGAAGGGAAGGAAAAGAAAGAGGATGCAAAGAAAGAATGAGAAGGAAGGAAGGGAGGGAGGGAGAGAGCAAATGAAGTATTAATACTATAGAAGACAACCCCTTTCCCAGGCCCACACATGGCACAATTCACTTAATAACTATAGTGATTCGCTTAGCAACCATTGGCAAAAAAAAGGTCGTAACATCGAATAACAAGTCCCTTAACCGCCTTCCTTAGCAACAGAAATGCCCTGTTCTGATTGCGGTCCTAAATCAAGATCTATTTTATACCGCATTTTGAATGCTGGCATTTATACCCCACATCGGATCGATCGATTTGAAGCCAATCTCTCCAACTTCCCCCATGTACAGGAGGAGGTAGATAAAATTTGGAAAGGGTGGGGGGAGAAATTAAAGGAGAGAGAGAGAGAAAAAAATAAATAAAAGGAACGAATTCCCCCTCAGAGATTTAAAAAAACACCACCACCACACATTCAATTTGTCAGAGGCCTCGCCGGTTGTCCTTCTCCGGATAATAATACACAATGACACAATTTTCTTAGCAGGTCAGGCCTTCCTCCCTCCCGCTTGAAAAAAAACAAAAACGGGGGATTTCCTAAATCCTAACTTTGAGCAATATTGGAATTTCTGCCTCTCTTTCTTGAATAACTTAAATCACCAGATCAGAATTTGGCTGCCCTGTGCCGCCCGGTTTTGTTTGCATTGTTTGGAAGCCAAAGGAAAAAAAAGAAAAAAGGAAGTATTGAAAAAAAAAGAAAGAAAAACACTCAAAAGCAATCTTGTTCAAAGGGGAATCCCCCAAAACTTGCTGGATCTACGACGGACGGTCGTGAATGAGAGAGGCGGAAAAAAAATACCCATTTCCTGGCAGGGAGAATTTTCCCACGTTTGAAAGAACCTGCTTGACAATTCTTCGTTTCTGGAGCTTTAGAATAAAATAGAACCAAGACGGCACGCACAGCCATATCTGTGGGCACGCGAGCATTGCCCTAGCTCAGCTCCAGCGCGCACGCCAGCTGATTTTCGGGCTTTCCGGGCCTATCGGGAGTCGGGAAACGGCCCGTTTCTGGCCCCCGGGACTGTGAGGAAAGCCATTTTTGCCCTCCCCAGGCTCCTAGGAAGGCTCTGGAGCCTGGAGAGGGCAAAAAACCAGGCCTATCGCGCCATCACATGTCAAAAGCAGGGGAAGCATGGGGGGGTTGCGTGCACATGCGCGGGGGTGCGGGGCGCATTGAATTATGAGTGGGCACGCGCACGCACAAACCCCCTGCACTTCCCCCGCTTTTGGCACGCGACGGCAAAAAGGTTAGCCATCCCTGAAATAGAAATATAAAATATAGAATAGAATACAATTCTTTACTGGCCAAGTGTGATCGGACGCACAAGGAATTTGTCTTTGGTGCATACGCTCTCGGTGTACATAAAAGAAAAAAATAAAATAAAATATATTCGTCAAGAATCATACGATTCTTGACACTTACAGTCATAGGATACTAATAAGCGATCAAATCTTACCAGGAAACAATAAAAACAATATCAATAGAGAAACCAGATTTGTAGAGATTCTCCGTCATCCAAAGTCGTGGTTTTTCCAAAGGTGATTTTTTTTTTTTCCAGGAGGCAACTGGACTTTTCTTGTTTTTTTTTCTTTTGAAGACGTTTCGCTTCTCATCCAAGAAGCTTCTTCAGCTCTGACTGATGGTGGGGAAGGGAAGGATTGATACTCCTTGCAGACGGCTGGTCATTTGCATCCTTTTTAGAGGGTCGTTGAGGCCACTTGGAAGTTTATCGGTGTCCTCGGGGTTCAACTGAGTTGTTTCAGGAGTTCCAAAGAAATCTCCACGCCTATTTGCACCACTCAGGACACAGATAAAACTTCCAAGTGGCCTCAACGACCCTCTAAAAGGATGCAAATGACCAGCTGTCTGCAAGGAGTATCAATCCTTCCCTTCCCCACCATCCAGTCAGAGCTGAAGAAGCTTCTGGGATGAGAAGCGAAACGTCTTCAAAAGGGAAAAAAAAATCAAGGAAGTCCAGTTGCCTCTTGAAAAAAGCACCTTTGGGACAGCCGTGACTTTGGATGACGGAGAATCTCTACAGACTTTTAGCTACACGATTTGGGATGGACACCCTTTGAATGGTGTGGGAGGAGGAATGGATTTCCAAATAAATAAATAAATAAATAAAAACTGCAGACTACAGGATCCATTTGCATCACTCAGGACACAGATAAACCTCCAAGTGCTTCAACGACCCTTTAAAAGGATGCAAACAACCAGATTGTCTGCAAGGAATATCAATCCTTCCGTTCCCCTCCATCCAGTCAGAGCTGAAGAAGCTTCTGGGATGAGAAGCGAAACGTCTTCAAAAAGAAAAAAAACAAGAAAAATCCAGGTGCCTCTTGGATTGGGACAGAGGTTGGATTAAACCATGCCTGAAAAGTGGATGAATTGGTGGCTGAATTATATATAATTGATATTATTAAAAAATGAATATGATTAAAGGCCTGGAGACTAAAACATATGAAGAACGGTTGCAGGAATTGGGTCTGGCTAGTCTAAAGAAAAGAAGAATTAGGGGGTGGCATCATAGCAATTTTCCAGTATTTGAGGGGCTGCCCCATAGAAGAGGGGGTTCAACATATTTTCCAAAGCACCAAAAGGCAGGAGAAGAAACAATGGATGGAAACTAATCAAGGAGAGAAGCAACCTGGAATTAAGGAGAAATTTCCTAAGAGTGAGGACAATTAACCAGTGGAACAGCTTGCCACCAGAAATTGTGGGCGCTCCATCGCTTGGAGTTTTTTAAGAAGAGATTTGACAGTCACTTGTCTGAAATGGGATAGGGTCTCCTGTTTGAGCAGGGGGCTGGACTAGAAGACCTCCAAGGTGCCTTCCAGCTCTATTCCGATTCTAATAGGCATTATTTGGAGAAATATATATATATTTTTAAACAGAAACTTGGAATGTGCAACTTACCATGAAGGCCCCAGCTTGGTGGAAAAAGCAAAGGAAGAAGATCTGAAAGAAAAAGGGGGAAAAAAATAGTGTTTTTTCCATGTTTGGTTTGTTTAAGCCATCATTGGCTGAATTTAAGCCGGCATTACTGGGTTTACACGTCCCGAGCCACTACGATTTGTGTTAAGTATGAAAGCTTCCCATCGTTCCAGAGGGGCATTTCTCAACTGGATTTCAACAAGTTTGAGGTGAAACAGGCCCTGTGTCAACAATTAAAAAAACAAACAAACAAACTAGAATGCTAGTCCTCATTGTTATAAACAGCTGGCTTAAATATGGAATGCAGAAACGCCTTTTACCAAGACAAAAGATCGTTCCAGTATTATTTTTTCCCCCCACAGATAGCAACAATTGGGTTTCTTAACCTGGGTTTAAGTGTTGTCGGAATGTTTACAGAAAAAAAATCAAGTTTTTTTCCATGGCCTCTGGGCATCAAATCCATTCGCTCTGTCCCACTACAGGTAGGGCTCAATTTACAACCAAAAATAAATAAACTGCTCGAAGTTTATTTATTTATTATGAAATTTATTTGCAGCCCATCTTGTATTCCCACAACTCTAGGCGGTTTCGACAGAAGTGACCACAGCACTCAAAAAGGTGACTTTACGACCGATCCTCACACTTACGACGACGTCCCCACAGTCACGTGATCGGAATTTGGGTGGTTTGGGAAGCGACTTTCCCAGGCCGGGCTTCTTCTGACCTATGAAGTCAATGAAATAAAGACCGCCTGGACCGTGTGTAACGACCGTGGTGATTCGCTTAACGACAGTGGCAAAAAGGTCGCCAAATGAGGCAAGCCGCCTTGCTTAGCGACGGACATTTTGGGCTCAACGGCGGTCGTACGTCGAGGACAACCTGTGCCGCTCACACAGCGTCGAATATCCGAGACGCTGAAGAAGGAAATTTTGAAAAGAGAAGCAGAAGAGACGGTCCTGAGCCCAAAAGGAGGAAGTTGCAGATGAAAACTTCACCGTCAAATATTTCGCAGACTGACAAGCGGGGTCAGAGGTGAAGGGAAATACACAACTATAAGAACTTCTTAAACGTCTTTCTAAAAAATGAGGTTTTTTTTTCTTCCCCTCAGTTGAGGCTATTCGCTGCTCCAGTTATACTTTTGAAGTTTGCTTTTATTTATTCACTTCTGAAGACATTTTGAGGTCTGGAATAGATCACCTGTGATTTCTCTTAGATCAGGGTTTTTAAGATGGGTGGACTTCGATTCCCAGCATACCGGCTGGGGGATTCTGGGAGTTGAAATCTTCCCATCTTAAAGCATTTTGGTTAGGGAATTCTGGGAGTTGAGGTCCACCCGTCTTAAAACACACTCGGCTCCCCATGCCCTAATCCAAGTTTAAATCACGTGCAAGCCTTGTTTTAATCCTTGTTTTAAATTTTAATCCTAGTTTAAATTTTAATTCTACTTTAAATTTTAATCCTAGTTTATAATGGCAGCCTGCACTGCTAGGCTTAATCCTAGTTTAAATTTTAATCCTAGTTTAGTTTATAATGGCAGCCTGCACTGCTAGTTTTAATCCTGGTTTAAATTTTAGGGCCTGGTGGCTCAGCAGACTAATGGCATTGTGATTAACACCAGCTGTCTGCAATTACTGTAAGTTCGAATCTCACCAGGCTCAAGGTTGACTCAGCCTTCCATCCTTTCTAAGGTAGGTAAATTGAGCCAGTTTGTGGGGGCAATAAAATGATTTTGTATAAATATGCAAAAGTATGAAGGCTACTGCTTAACGCATTGTAAGCCGCCCTGAGTCTCCGGAGAAGGGCGGCATATAAATCAAATTAAAAAAAAAAAATTAGCCCTAGTTTAAATTTTAGCCCTAGTTTAAATGGCAGCATATAATGCTAGTTTTAATCCTAATTTATGTTTTAATCCTACTTTAAACGGCAACACCCATTCCCCATATCTCCTTTGGGTTCTGAAATTTCAGCAGATAATTGTCTCCATTGGGCTGTGAAGCCGCTGAGGACTAGAAAACTGGTTCCAGCCAATGAACTTTGCGGAGCTGAATGGCACTCCTGGCTGAGCTATACTCCACATTCCTTAGATTTCGCAGTCACAGATACCAGATACACACCCCGTCACAACAAACAATTAAGCCTCTTAAAGAGAGCAGCCAAGCTCTGTGGGGTTGTAAAATGTTAGTACAAATTTGGTGGCGGCGAATGGAAGAATAGTATGACTTTAGCCAAATCCTTGAGGACTAGAAACCCGGGAAAATCATTGTTTTCTCCCGCCTAGAAAAGTGGGTGAGGAGTTGTTTGCAGGAACATTATGGGGATAATCCTCAATTTACAACCATTCATTTAGTGACGGTCGGAAGTTACTAAACAGCACCGAGAAATGTGACTTACAACTGATCCTCGGACTTAACGACCGTCGCACAACCCCGATGGTCACGTGATCAGAAATTGGGAGTTTTTCCAACCAGCATCGCCTTTATGATGGTTGCAGTGTGCCAGCCAGTTTATGACAAGCAAAGTTGGTGTGTGTGTGTGTGTGGGGGGTGTTGATTCATTTAATGACATGATTCATTTAACGAAACTGCAGTGATTTACTGAACCCTCCACGGCGAAAAGATCATAAAACTGAACGCAACTCGCTTAACAGCCGACCTCACTTAGCAACGGAAATTCTCTTTCTCCATTGCGGTCATAAAATAAGGACTGACTGTATTCCTATCTTCCAAGGCCTCACAATCTCTAAAAGTAAAAATATTTCCGTTCCATCTCTTTCTGAAAACCTGACTTTCTCTTGCATAAAACTGGACATTTTTATTAAGGCAGAGATTTATTGCATGCTCACAACTTCGATATTACTTAGTTACCAATTTGTTTTATTTCCTGCCTCACCCTATTATTGATGGAAAAACTGGATATCTTTTATTACAAGTCACCAGTTTAGCATTTTACCTGGGTTGGGCAAACATTTTTTAATCTGGAATTAAAACGGAATTAAATCCCCTCCTTTCTAATGCCCCCCGTATCATTTGAATTCCTTGATATTACTAAATTTTAGCTCAGAATCATTGCGAGCGGAGCCCCGTAAAAGTTTGGTATTATTACAGCCAGTGTAATTATTTTACATGGATTTTGAGTTGGCAATTGTAGAGTCAAACGTTGCAAAACGAATTAAATAATCATGAACGCTGGCTGAGAGAAACCTGGTAGAAAAATGGGACTGTCATTTTATAAATATGGACATACCTATGTTCGTTACACATTAACCGCTATTTTTATTAAAACTATTTTAACGAAGGTTAAATCAAAATCATTGGGAATTCGGGCAGCCTTCTGAATTAACTAAACAATTACGTTCCAAGTTCCTTTAGGCATTTGTCCTACTTTATCGGGACTAGTTAACGCAAAAGGAGAAAAACATCACACATATTTACACACATGTATAAAGTCACAACCTTCACCCATCACACAGGCCAGGGAGGAATAGAACCTCCAAGGTCAGCAACAGTCTATCGGTGGCAGAAAAGGGCACAGGTGAGTTACAAGTCCTGCTAAAGTCAATAATCAATTGGAAGGTATTGTTTGAGAAAATTGATAGTTATAATAATTGGGATATTGTTTAAATATGTCTAACAATTGTAATAATTTGAACATTTTTTTTATTTAAGCAAAAAGGAAAAGGAAATTGAAATAGCGTTATTTGAATTAAGAACTAAGCTTAAATGTCAAAGGTTAAATTGCTATATTTTTAAGATTAGAGATAAGATTTAAATTTGATAAATGTACTATGAGTTATTAACTGATTTAAGATTTTAGGTGGGTTAATAGAAGGGTAATTGTTTTGATTAAGTAAATAAGAGTAAATACCATCTTTTTAAGATGGTATTAGTTGAATAAGTGATTTAAGATTAAGAAAGAAGTGTTATGGCAAAACAGGAATATATAAAATTTTGTTAAGAATGAGAAAATTTTTTATAAATTAATGATCGGATCAAAGCTCTGTTCCGAAAAGATGCAATTGGTTAAAAAATAAAAAACATTTTGCAAAAATAATAATAATAATAATTACTGGTTTTTTAAAAACAACTTTTATGGTATATTGTTCGCATTTTTTTTGTTGTAAGCTGCCCAGAGTCCCCAGGGAGTTGGGCGGCATAGAAATGCGACAAATAAATAAATAAATAAAATAAAATAATAATCATCACCACCAAAAAAATATAAATAAATCAGAAAAAAAAATCTCTTTTTGGCTTCTTTCTTTATTATTTTTTTTAAAAAGATACATTCTCTATATTTTTATCCAGGTGAGCTCCAGAAGACACACAGGCACTCTCTTCTCTAACTTATTTATATCAGATTTACTTATAAATTAAGTACAGGAAATCCTCGATTTACAACCGCAACGGAGCCCAACATTTCCGTTGCTAAGCGAGATAGTTGAGTTTTGCCTCGTTTTACGACCTTTTTTTTTTCCCACTTTCGTTAAGGCAGTGTTTCTCAACCTTGGAAGCTTGAAGATGGGTGGACTTCAACTCCCAGAATCCCCCAGCCAGCATCTTCAAGCTTCCAAGGTTGAGAAACACTGCGTTAAGGGAATCACTGCAGGTGTTAAATTAGCAACACGGTTGTTAAGTAAACCCGGCTTCCTTATTAACTTTGTCAGGCGGCCACAAAAAGGGGCCACTGAGACCGTCGTAAATATGAGTCTATTTGCCAAGAGTCCAAATTTTAACCATATGACTGTGGGGGATGCTGCAATGGCCATAAGAGTGAAACAGTCACACTTTTTTTTTTACTGTCATTGTAACTTCAAATGGTCACTAAATGAACTGTATTTGTGTATCAAAATTTATATGCCACCCATCTCGCTATCAAACGATTCTGGGCTATTATCCTAAAATAACAATATAAAGCAATTAGAACGTTAAAAACGTTTTAGGTAGATGTAAAGATACACACACGGTATATACACATATATACTATGAATGAAGATAACAGTAACAGAGTCGGAAGGGACCTTGAAGGTCATCTAGTCCAACCCCCTGCTTACACAAGAGACCTGTCCTAGGGATTTGAACCGCCGAACTGCCAACCTTTGTGATCGACAAGCTCAGCGTCTTAGCCACTGAGCCACCTTGTCAGGCTATGCACATACAGGTAGTCCTTGATTTACGACAGCTCATTTAGTGGCCGAAAGTTACAACGGCACTGAAAAAAATGTGACTTATGACCGTTTCTCAGAGTTACGACCTTTGCAGCATTCATTCCCTCCCCCATGGTCACGTGATCCAAAATTCGGATGCTTAGCAACCGCTTCATATTTACGACGGAT